CGCAAGGATCCATGCTTGGGTCCTTGTTGTACATAATGTACACGGCAGATATTTTAAGAATAATAAAAAATGTAAAAGTGCAAGCGTATGCTGACGACTAACAAGTTTATTTTCAGAACTGCGGCAGAACGAACTCGCAATGAAGAGCTTCAATCGATCTATACATTATCCGAGCAGCACGACTTATAGCGCAATTCTAAAAAGACAAAAGTTATTTATTTTGGAAACACAAATAATATCAATATTTTTGAAAGGTACCTCTTCATCGAAACTATCAAATGACGTGCTCAGATTCTGTGGTTCTGTTAGTAACATAAGTTTAACTTTCTATTGATCAGAGCCTACGTTTCTCTGTCCATACTGATACTCTAGTCAATAAAGAATTCAGTTCTCCAAACATTATTTATAGCAGTCGACATTTTATACTTATATAAAATTCAGGAAAACATTGTAACATGTAAGATCGTGGTGCTTGACTATTTCAACTATTGTACCTTTATTTGTGGGCCGTGTTTGACTAGCACTACTGAAACGAAAATATAACGGGTTCAATATAGTTGCTGTAGGCTGGTTTCTGGAATCATATTACACAAGATCAAAAAGTTTGAACGGCTTAGCATGACTAATAGAAGACTCCTTCCTCTGAGTAATTATACGCATCAATTGGCCACCAATTCAAATAATCAAAGTCTAATTAAACATTATTTCCCTCGCGTCATCTGAACATTCCACAAGAATCTAAACTGCTAAACATTAACAAGTTCAAATTCAATTTAAAACTTTATTTGATTGATATGCAGTAGGATCAATGATATTTCTTTTGAAATTTAATTATTTGATAATTCTTTATTATTGTTTATAGATAGTTATAGATGGATATCAAAAGTGGCTGGGCCTCTTTTTACCATGAATTTTACTACTCCTCTCGTTGTACATGATGCATGGTAGTAAAAAGTAAGAGCTTAAATATTGCATACATTATAGTACATACATGTTTTTTGAAAAACTTTATTTACTATTTTTTGTCGACTTAATTCGAGTTTAATTATGTACTTATTTGGGCTTTCCCCTCCAGTGATTAAGTAGAATAGCTATTGCCACTGGTATTGTATTTTTACTATCGTTGTTTTGTTGTAAAACAATAAAACTGGATTTATAGGAATATTGCACATCTATAAAATATATATACAGTATCTGATATTTGAATCTTTCGCTGAGAAACTCTTAAGCAAATTGACAAATTGTGGAGATACACCATCTAAGTAGTGAGATATCATGCTATATTTGGAATATATGCGCTGGACTAACAATCCAAAAAACAAAAGGTTTGCATTACCAATGCTCATGAGAATTGGATTTTGTTAATGGATGATTGAAGAATATTATTGTCATTGGCAGCGTTAAATTAAATTTTTCTCAAATAGTGCTTTTATCTCGAGAACTAATAACTTTAGAGAAAAGTTCTAAAATACCTCGTCTTCAGAATGTCCCAGGAAACCCAGAAACACTTCAACCAAAGCGGATATGGTAAAACTTTTGTATAACACTTTTTTCTAAACGCTTATACAAAAAAGCAGGAGGGAGTTCAATTTACAGCGGGATACCTTGTGCAAAGCCCTTGGTACCAATATGCGGTCTTCCTTCTACACAACCTACCTGGCACGGAGGCATGGAGATATAATCTGGCAGTTTTGGGATCTTTCTCTATTAGACTAGATCTAACAACGCTGACTGACATCAGGCAATAAGAGAAGTATACAGGGTATCCAAGATAAAAATCCTATCCATGGGGATCTCAATACCTGAGGGAGCTACAGCTTAGGTTAAATTGAGAAAAGTCTGCGTTGTTTGGGGCATATTTATGTGCCGCTGAAAAACTTGTAAAATTTTCAAGGGTTACTGAGGTAACTGGGGAAAAAATAAGATTTGACCAAATAGTTTTTTTTTTATTTTTTCTGACGTTACTTTAAGAAATATCAGAAAACTAATGCAACCTTTTCATTGCTACTTTTTAGGCACTACTTGGTGTTTTCATATTTTGTGCCTGAAGTTTCGTTTTGAGAAAAGCCGTCAGAAACAAAATTTAAAAACACCAACCGTAATGTAGTGAGTAAAAAAGTTAATCGAAAATTTCTATTAGTATTTTGATATTTCTCGAAAAGTGTCAGAAAAAATAGAAATAATTAGACCAAATTTCAGTTTTTCCCAAATATCTCAGTGTCGTGAAAGTTTCACATGTTTCTCAACGGCGTGTGAATACGCCCCAAACAACGCAACTTTTTTCTAATTTAGCCTTACTTGTATCTCCCACAGGCATTGAGATCACCATACGTAGGATCCTTATCTTGCACCCACTGTATATGCGAATTAATGAAACACAAATTTCAACCATCGTACAATTTAAGATGACCGGATTTCATATTTACGACATGCACAATATGGAATCACTGTTAAAATTTCAATTTAATTTACCTTTAAACTCTCCATTTAAAAATAATTAAATAGTTGCCGAATAGAACGCTAAGTTGGACTTGACAACTTTGTTGGTCATGATAGATCTAAGTTAAGGAAATAGTCAATTGTTGAGTGTCCCTGGTATAACTGGTAAGTCAATGCCTCCAAGTTTTGTTTGAGCACAGCATCGAAAAATTCGCAGCGTGTCATCAAGGCAACAAGCTGTGCTTTGAAAGCTTTTAGCTATTACCACTATGGCTAGTTAACGCCCGTGAGCACGCGATAGAACAAACTTTTACAAGTATTGCCATAATGGAGAGCTTCCACTGTTCAACCTCGAAGTTATTGCTGGCGTGATCCTTTTACTACATGATACAGTGCTACTATAGTGAGTTTTGTCTTCATTCATATATACGAGTACGTTACAGTTAAAACGTTATCAATAATAGAGTTGAAACTAGTTACTACTAAATGTCCTTGTAATAACTAGAATTAACTGCTGCTTGAACGGATATCAGTGAAAACTAAGTCCAACTAGAAATAACGCATATTGACGTAGAAAGGGGTGTACTTATGTAAAAAAAGTGTACCTGCAAAAAGGGCAACCTTCGTCAGTCAAAATGCCGTGATAATCTTTCTTGTAATAAGACGTAGGCAGTCACCATATAATTATGTGACCTTATTTAATATACTACCTATTTGCCTGAGAAAGACAGAACGTTATATTTAAGTACAGGGTGAAGTTATACTAAGTGACATATACGATGCAACACCTAGAATTATTTATTGATTGTTGATAAAAACTTGTGAACATATTTGCTATGATGCAAGTAGTAGATAAAATGTTGAAGGCATCCCTAGAGTTCGCAGACGTAATATTGTGGCTATGGCATTGCTGTTGTATTTTAATATTGATTTTGATTAATACATACTCAATAATTACTGATTAATATGTTAATGAACAATACCCGTAATCTCCAACAAGTTTCTCTAATATCAGTTTTAACTAAGATTCAAGGTAAGTACTAGTTGTATCTAAAATTTATATGCATATAAGCTGTAAATTCTAGTTATGATATAGGCACATAGTAGACGCTAGTTTTAATGAGAGAGAATTACTTAAAACTTAAAGCGGGTTTAAGTTGTAACATATACATACAAATCAGGTCAGGCTTAAAAAGTTGTAGACTTGTAATTTGCCGCTTGGCATAAGCTGTTCACAAAAGGTGGGAACCATGAGCATACGAGTGTAATTCATATCAGAATGTTTATCACAGAAACAAAATAGTTAAACTATATATACTGTCGACGTATTCAACCTTTAAGTGAAATAAAGCAAAGAAATACAGATCAAAACATGATTGATATAGTTGTAGCTTTCGTGAGGGGGCGTCCAAAGATGTCATAAAAACAAATTCGTTCATGGTCTCCTCGAACATTTCTTAAGGCATGGAAAGATAAATGTTCATTTACTAATGAGTTACAAAATATATGGGAAGAGACGTTAATTTGCCTTTATGCCTTTGGCGATTTTTACATGTAGGTACTCTCAGAAAAGCATGAAAAAATGGAAGTTGACTGTTATAGCCATCCCCCAAGAACCTTATTATATTGGTAGTTGAAGGTTTAACTATTTTTGCACGTCATATTGACCATTTAAAATTTAGAAATATGATGAAAGTCGAATATACCGCTATCACAATTTTTTTAAAACTGAGATGTTAGGATCTGAAAAATTCACTGAGCCAAATCGGCGTCCGCGATCAACAGACAAAACGCGCGTATCGTGCCATTTTATTTGATACCGGTAGTGTAGGGTGACTACGAAAAATTTAAATAGCCTTTTTGCGGTGACCATCATATTGGATTCATAATAACGTCACTTTGCCTATTGTGTTTCTCTCATAAAACACTTTCATTTGATACCCATATCATAGGGGTCCGTCATCATGGAAATAATAGATCGCCTTTTTTGTAACATTTATGTAAAATTCGATTCAAAATAACGGCAGTTAATTAGTTCATTTTGTGTCGTCATGCAGACCGAACGCTTGTACTAAATTCCAGCTCATTTGGTTAAGACTAACTGATACAAATTTCAGTTCGTAGATTCCCCCACCCTAACGAACAGGTCAAGTTGAATATAATCTTATAAGAGATGCTGCTGCAATTTGCTGAGTCTACAGGTGGCTTACTAGATCTCATTCTCATTATTATTAACATATTATTTAAAATTGTAGATCTTAGAGTTATCTCAACTAAGATATAGTATTGCACTATGTGAATAATTTAATTTGTATTAGCTACAGAGTTGGGGGTGAAAAACCTCAGCCTTTTGGAGTATTATTTTTAATATTCCATTATTCACTTTTTTTTGTCCCACTTACTCAAAAATCCGTCATCAATGTCATACAATGAAGTACGCTGCTCTCATCCATTTTGGTACTTGACTATACATAGCTATTATAATTATAAAAGATGGAGAGAGATAATAATTTGTATTTTTCACAAAATATATGGAAAAATAAAATTGAGTAGGTACTCACATCGAGCTGCATGATGATCTTGTTGTATGCCCAAAGCCACCTTTGCTGAGCAGTTATTTTCGGCTGCCTTTCATCATGCACCGGTTCTGTTTTCTGCTGTTCTTGAGGAGCATCTTCAGCTATCTGTAAAACGTGTATATTATGAACCGCTGTGTTGAAGTAAAACCTATAAAGCATAATTTGGTTACATCAAGGCAACATTTCACACCAAAACTAAAGTTAACTTGTAGTGTACTTTACTATCTTGTTAAATCAGTTACAGATTTGGTAACTAAAATGAATTTCCTATTATAGTTCACTTTTTTGGACAATTACGGATAGGCGGAAAATTCCAGAGTATAGTCAAGAGAAAGATATGTGTACAAAACGTTACCACTACAAGGGGGCTGATCTACGAGTATTTGTTAACAGATGGTCAGCCAGTACTACTAAGTATACTGTCAACAAGTCAAATCTTTGAAACGTCTCTCATAAACTAGCCTGAACAGTTAGTTACTGTTTATGGAGATACATTGATCGTTTTGTGCCTCTTCAGCTGAGAGGTGAATACTAACCTCCCCTGAAATATCTAAATCAGCTGAAAAAATACATAAAGGCATGTATCTAAAACAAATAGATAATTTTGGTTTTAAAAATACTGTTGGGTGTTATGTTTCCAAAGGAACTACGTACTACAGGTAATGTGTAGAACAAATTATATGGAAGTTGGAGAGAAACATTTTTGGAGCCAGTTTGGTTGACTATCTCTCCTTAATCATGCGTTGAAGTACATATGTTTTTGTGCAAGTTACGTTGCATCCTGACTTAGCATTTTGATGTTGTAGCCAGTTACTGATCACAAACCGCCGTATGCAATATCCTTTGGATTAGAATACTCAGCTGGAGAGGAACAGAGTGGGAGAACTAAACTCGAGTTTTTGTTACTCTAGGAGTTAGGACTTTATTTAAAGGTAGTAAAGGAATTGGATACACCCCTTCAAGTGGTCTCACACGAATGATTACATGCAATTCCATTCATTTAATATACCTTCAGAATTTGAGCTGGTCCATCAATATAAAATGAAATTTGGAATTGCAAAACTCAAAAAGGAAAATTGCCTATTACTCTTCGTTCCTTTGCCCATTTCAGTTAAGATTATTGCTAGTTCTGGGGATGGATTAACTTTAACTTCTAAACATGAACTTAAATAGCTTCAGTTTTGTGAAACAAATACTAGAAAAATTACTACTAAAGCATGTCGTTTATTTGTTCAAGTGGGTTAATACTCAATAACAAGTTTTCTGAAGGGTCATGGGCTCCAAACCTATTCTTACAAATGTTCAATAGATTTATGAAACAAAAGGTAGCTTGGATTTTTTAATTATGTTGTTCCATTATTGTCGAGTGAGTGTAGTTTGGCGTCAATTCACACTTTAACGCCTTTTATTCCTTAAATCCTTACTAAATTGTTAGTATTAATACGGAAGTGTGGAAAATTTCTGAACGGAACTGTATGACATTTACTACATAGCCTGGAATAGCATGTACGTTTATCCTGCTAAATGAGTTTGAAATATATATTTAACGACTGAATGTTTTACTTCAAGTACAATGTTCTGGATGAATAGTTATTGGGTTAGAATATGTGCACGTATTTATTGTGAACCTGTTTACAATTTGATATTAATTTATGGTTGCATTAAAATATTGAATCATAAATGCCCATTGCAAAAGTAACTTTCGCACTAGCTCAAACATCATATTTCATTCTCAGAAACCAATGTTCTTCACACTAATGCACAACGAATACCAGAACTTTACTCCATTATACTTTTCCTAAACCCAATTTCTTGAGAAGACCTCACATACACTCCCCATTTCGCCTCAACTAACCTCGTCAACGGTGACGCTCGGCACTTCATGCTCCTGCTCCTGGTGCTCAAGCTCCGCCCTCACATCGTGGTACTCATCGCGCGCGTCGTGGTACTCGACGTCCTCCGCGTACTCGTCAACGTACTGATCGCGAATGTCGGAGGACAATGGAGGGGGAACGGCCCCGCCCACGACGGAGGGAGGGGATGACACTCGCGACGCGGCTGACAATTTTCGCGTGGGCACAGTGATGGGGTAGGCGTCGGCGTGTTGCTGCTGCTGTTGGTCGTAGGCGGTGCCGTAGGTGTCGGAAGACGTTCGACGGCCAACTGGAATAAAATTAGTCCTTTTAGGGAATGGTATCTTCAATGCAAAAAATAGCGGCAATAATATTAGGGCAAAGAATAACATAAAACGTTCTAATAGACATATAGTAATGGACAAAAGTATATAGACAAATTAATATTTCTTTTTCAACTGGATATATTAATACACCCACCTGTATACATAACTCGCTATAGTATAATACTCACTTATACATGAATAAATTCATTAGACTCCCTTTAATAAAAAATTAATTTGAAAAAACTGGAACTATGAAGGACAAACGTATATAGACAAAGCAAAACAATTATAGAAAAAAGAAGCTAAGTTCATCGAATTATAGAAAACCAACCATGTTTGTGTTAATATTTTGCATAACCATTATTATCAATCACCGCCAGGCATCGTCACGGCATAGATTGTAGAAGTTTCTTGATATAAGATTCATCAATCTGTCTCCACTTTTGCTCTAAAGCGGCAAAAAGTTAATCCTTGTTTGCTTATCTAAGTATTCCCATAGACTTTCAGTGGGGTTTATGTCGGGAGACTGTGAAGGCCATTTAAGAACTGGTATTTTTTCATCCAGAAAGAATTTCTTTGCAAGATTTGAAGTGTGCTTCGCGTCATTATCTTGCTGGAAGATTGATTTTAAGGGCATATTGTCTTCCACGTAGGGTAACATGACATGCTTTAGTATGTCTGTCTATACAAACTTATCCAAAATGCCATCTATTCTACGTAAAGGTCCCATCCCAAACCATAACAGACCCGCCTCCATGTGTGACAGTGGGCAAAGTGTACTTGGGGTTCAATCTTTGTCCATTAGGACGTCTAACATAATGAACACCATCTGATCCAAACATATTGAACTTGGATTCGTCACTGAAACATACCCTCTTCCAGTCACAGATGCTCCAATCAAGATGCAAACGTGCAAATTGTAATGGGTCCTTACGGTTTTTCCTCGAGATTAGCGGCTTCTTACTCGAACGACGTGCAAATAACTTCAAATCATTTATCCTTCTACTTATAGTTTTTGTAGAACCACTGACTATTCATTTTGTCTCGAATTCCGGTTTAATTTGTTTTGGGGTTTTAAACGGATTTACTTTCTTATTTATCTAACTGATCTAGCATTTAGTTTTCTAGGCCGACCACTTCTCTTAGAGGCTTCCAAGATACCTTTTTGTTTATATTTGTTCAATATTGCCTAAACTGTTTTACGCTTCAGCTTAAAATTTTTGGAAATGTCGACTTGACGTTGACCATCTTTGTATAACTCAATGATCTTAGTTTTCACATCGAAAGAAATTTCTGGACCACGCGGCATGGTCTTAAAATCACTCAACTTATTCCACAATACTTGATGAACACAAACTAATCCTCTTCTGACAAGAAACTGTACTAAACTAATGTTGAAAAGAATTTGTCTACATATTTTTGTCCCTCATAAAGAAGTGCTTATATTCAGACTTGTTTCGTGTTCATTGCAGATAATGTAAAAGAATAAATTTAGTTTTTCTACTAATTGCGCATTTATTTATGGAGCAATGAAGTATGCATTCGTTTTCTAAAGGTATTTAGGTAAATATTCATATTTGTCTATATACTTTTGTCCATTACTGTATGTCTCAGAATGTCGTCTTGCCAACATACAGATAGACTATCAGTGTGTTCGTAAATTGAACATCTTGATTGTGGTGACATCGCAAGCGTTTGACGTAGGTGTCCAGCGGTGACTTCACTGTTTGTGAATTTCCGAACAACGAAATGAAACTGTGACATAAACCTAGCCTATAAGGTAAATATTTTGTAATTTTGGCTAGTCAATTTGGCGTTTCTGCAGAACTGTCGAAAAAGAGACAAAAATTTGCTAGTTTTGTGTTTGCTACCTATAAATTTGAGATCTTCAAAGTGAGCGCAATCAAATAAGTCTTGTTAAATATTCATATGATATTTATTTTATCTTCTACGAACATGTTCTTGAAAAGGTTATTCCGGTAAATGGTAGTCAACGTATTTTCTTCTACTTCATCCAGTCTGCCGATTGTGAAATACTTTTCTTTTTGCTTATACCACTGTGAAAATTTGAATCGTTAGATCTAACCTTCACACTTCTTGAAGAGCCTCTGAAATACGGGAGAAATATAACAGGGGGTGTACCGAAACTAGCAAACTGTTTAAAGTGGCATATGAAAAAAATTTTGGGAACCTCTCTCTAGAGAATGAGAAATTTACCAAGTGTGGGCTTCCAACGTTTACCTACCAGAACGCACGGACTATCAGACTTCCATACTTCAGGTTCCTTATCTCATGCAAGAAGTAGCATTAAGGACTACATCGATTTTGTGGTTCGAAGGTGAGCTTATCCCAAAAGTAAATGATAGAAGATCAGCTATAGGCCCATAAACTTAATGTTTATCATAAGATTGGATGAAGAGTTACTTCATTAGGACTCATCTAAAAATTACAGATCTTCGCCGCGTGACTATTATTAGAGATCAACAGAGGGCATTGTAGATTCAGTTACACTGCTTTTCCTAGATGACTGAATGTTTGCTCTTCAAATCGTGAAAAAAATTTTAAGATCGACTCTAACAACAAGGTGATAGAGAACTGCGTCAGTGAGGGACCTCTAAAATGTCTCGTGCATTATGAGCGATAGACAGTATGCTTTCCGATATCAGCAATCCACTGGGGAAATGTTGTAAAACATTTGGTGAAGGTCACGTTCCCTCAAGCAAACTCACATGCTACAGGATCCTAGAAAGGTTTTACAGATGAGGAACGCACTTTTCTGGCCCTAAGATGCCCAATTTCCATTAAAAATGGGTATTCGCTACAAACGAATAGGACAGGAGAAAACTGTCAACGATTTTTTGTCGCGAAGCTTACATGTTTTCAACAACAAGCATCCAATTTTGGTAGCTGACAACCGACTGGTCGGGGTGAACCTTTCTACGGACACGATTTAACATATCTTGATTGGTACTGAGAAGAAGCTCGGCTATATCATGTTTGCGTCTAAGGCCCGTATCGTCAGTCATCCCTACAATTGTAGGGCGCTTTTATGGCCTCCTTGATTGTCATAGTTTTCTACTTCTCCGTGTCAGCGCTCTATTTTGAGGTTATGTCACAAACATCTATTTGTATCCAAGGTCCAATTTTGGCACACTCTCTCCAACATATCGTCCGGTATCTCACGAATAAATGCCTCAATATTGGCTTCCAGTGCGTCAATCGTTGCTGGTTTATCCCTGTAGACATTAGCCTTAACATGGCCCCACAAGAAATAGCCCAACGGCGTTAAGTCACACGATCTAGGCGGCCAATTGACGGGCCCCAAACGTGAGATAAACTGTTCACCGAACTCGCCTCTCAGTAGGGCCATTGTTTCGTGTGCGGTGTGGCATGTGGCACCGTCTTGTTGAAACCACATGTCAGCCAAGTCCAGCTCTTCCATTTTGAGCAAAAAAAAGTTCGTTATCATCGCACGGTAGCGCTCGCCATTCACAGTTACGTTCCGGCCATTGTCGTCTTTGAAGAAGTACAGCCCGATGATGCCACCGGCCCATAATCCACACCAAACAGTCATTTTTTCGGGATGCATTGTTAGCTCTTGCAATGCTTCTGGCTGGTCTTCACTCCAGATGCGGCAATTTTGCTTGTTAACGTACCCATTCAACCAGAAATGAGCTTCGTTGCTGAACACAATTTTTCGATAAAAGTGTGGATCTTCCTCCAACTTTGCCAGCGCCCATTCACCAAATTGGAAACGTTGTGGGAGGTCGTGTGGCTTCAATTCTTGCACCAGCTGTATCTTATAAGGTTTTACACCCAAATCCTGTCGCAAAATTTTCCACGTAGTGGTGTAACAGAGGCCCAATTGCTGCGAACGGCGGCGAATCGACATTTCACGGTCATCACTAACACTGGCGGTTACAGCCGCAATATTTTCTTCAGTCCTCACTCTACGTCTGCGTGTTGATGGTTTAATGTCCAATAATGTAAACTGGGTTCGAAATTTAGTCACAAGCTTCCGAATAGCTCCCTCAGTAGGCCGACCAAGTTGCCCATAAATTGGAAGCAGTGGTCGATGCACTCTCTTAACCGAGCATGAATTTTGATAGTAAAATTCAATAATTTGCAAGCGCTGTTCGTTCGTAAGTCGATTAAATTATGGTTAAATTATAGGCCAAACTGAACAAGTTTGACAATGACACAAGACACGATTCACGCGTCATCTGTCAAAAACAGTGTTGCCAAAAAGATACTAACAAAAAAATCACCCATTATAATGATAGTAGTAACAAGTTCCATCTACTTTAAAGGCCAAATATTTTGAAGCGTTACGTTTAATCCTTTCTGTTGCAATGATATGAATGAACCAATATGACACAACCATGTTATAGCTTCGGACGTACAAGCTAATAATAATAAGCCCAAAAAGTTTCAAAGCCTCAGACACTTATTGCTCAACAGGTTTTGCAAACGTTACCTTAGAATCAAAAATTATCCCGAGATATTTAAAAATGGTTGGTATTTAAATCTCAGAATTATTGAACACGTAGTTAAATTGATAAGAGTTTTTCTTCTACTATATGAGCTTTAAGAAAAAGTCTATTCTCATTACACCATTTTTCAAAGACAACCAAGTTATTTTGAAGTGAGTGGCAATTCTGGACCTCATTGTTTCTTGAAAAATTTTGACAACGTTCGCAATACTTAAAACCTAGGCAATTAGCTGCCGCTAACAAATCTTTAATAACCAGAATGAATAGTAAAGGCCTCTAGTTTTTTCCTTGCGGAACACCAGACGTAACTAACATGGGGATTGACCTAAATCCATGATATGCAACAAATTGAAACCTATATGACAGGTATGATTTGAAAAGATATACAAGTTCATCAGAAAAGCCATAGATGGAAAGCTTTGACAACAGTTTTTTGTGGGAAACCTTAACAAAGGTTTTTGAGAAATCAGTGTAAATAACATCTATCTTTCTTTGTTCGTCCAAGTCTTCGGACATATATTTACTAGATAAGTGAGAGTGAGATTTGATTATGTGGAAATACACAGATTGACTTATTTGAATGTTTTGAGGAACAATGAGTTACGTGTTTTTGAGAACTTTATGCATCTAATTCACTCAAACAATTCCATGAATCGGAGAAATACTGTGAGATATCTTCTTACAGAAAACAGTAATCTGTCTATTGAACGCGTTAAGAACTTTGCTTTCATACTACATTTTGCTTAGATATGGTAGATATTCAACAACTACTCAACAAAGCTCGAACGTAATGATGATCTATTCAAGTATGTAGCAATACCATAGGTGTACAATTTTTGAAATATGTGTTGGCTACCCTGTATATATGACAGATATGAATTTTGCTAGTAGAAGTAATTATACAGATGTAAATGAATAACGAACAAATCGTGTACCGAACCTACAAGACTCTGTAACAGGGTATGGACTAGCCAACTTGGACGCCATGTATCTCGCGTTTATATCTAGCAGATACTGAATTTTAAGAAAAATAGCCTAAAGATGTTCCCTATAAGGTTTCTGCACGATTTTGGGATGAAGAATAAATAGATCTGTAAGCAGATTGGGACGACATTATAATATCGCGTTTGAAGGTTTGGTAGACTAGGCAATAAGTGTCCTCAAAAGAGACTGAGGGATAAAAACCTTGTGGAAGTAGATCGTCGCCATGAACCTTTCCGAACATACCTTTGTCATTGTAGTAGTCTACGCCGGAAGACCTTCGTGATCCGACAGTGGTGGCACTTGTGGTCGGTATTGAGGGTTGCCTGTTTTGCAGTGCGGGATGGTAGGGGTCAACTACTGTGATTTGTGAGCTGCCTCTACGTAAACTGGTATCATCATCATACAAATCCGAACAGACTGGTGAGTCTCGGTGGATTGCCGTTTTGGTCGTGTAATCGGAGGTGGAGACACCTGCAAAACATACGTCTATCAAAAACTTGCACAAATTCAATAGTTGATAAATCATTTTGAAATGTTCACCCAAAAAAATAAATAATCAATAATCACAACTTGCTTAAACTAGACTAAGTCATTGTCATCCATAATCCGCTTCATGAACAGGGTGCAATATTCTATAAAAGTACATCTTCACCGCTTGGTTGGAACAGTTGTGTTGAAAACCTTCCAGGAAAGCTACAGTTGATACAAGAATTGTGAGAAGCAAGTTTATAGTGTATTAATATACTAAGTGACATATAAATCCGAACACCCAGTTTAAATGGTTTTATTTTAATAAAAGTTGGTGAATGTATTTATCTTACTGTAAATAACAAGTGAAAAAATGTTCAGCCTTATCAGTTGGACATTCCGGTTTTTATACTGCTTTTTTTTATTCACTAACGCTCTAAAAATGAGTATTTCAGCCGCAGTAAAGAATCAACGTTGGCGGATTTTGGTTCTTGACATCCTTTACGATCGGTTACGATGCCTAGAGTACGGAGACCTGTACGATTTCGTCAACTTAGTGAGTTTGATAGGGGCCGTATAGTGGGACTTCGGGAAGCTGGACTTTCTTTTCGGGCAATTGCAGTTAGAGTGCAAAGAAGTGTAGACACTGTGGTTAGGTGTTGTCAGGCATGGCTTCGAGAAGGCCGTACGCAAAGAGCAAGGGGCACTGGACGCCCCCGTAGAACAACAGACCGTGAAGATCGCCGCCTAAGATGATTGGCCTTAAGGGACCGTTTCTCCACTATCAGGTCCATTGCAAATGAATGGTTTGCAGAACACGGAAGACCTATTGGCATGCGAAGCGTTTACCGACGAATGAGAAGTTTTGGCTTGTCTTCATACCGGCCACACTGGGTCTTCCCTTTAACTCGAGAACACCGACGTAATCGCCTTGTGTGGTGCAGACAACGGTCACTCTGGGATCAGGAATGGAACAGTATTGTCTTTAGTGAGGAGTCTCGATTTTGTTTAGGCATGTATGATGGTCGTGCCAGGGTGAGAAGGCGACGTGGTAAAAGGAGGAATCCACAGTTTTTTGTTGAAAGACATGTTCATCACCCTGTTGGAGTTATGGTTTGGGGTGCTATAGCTTATGGTTCCAGGTCACCTTTAATCTTCATCAGAGGTAACATGAACGCCCAGCGTTATATCCACGAAGTCCTAGAACCCCATCTTCTACCCTATCTTGACACCCTGGCAGATTCAACTTTCCAACAAGATAATGCCCGACCACATGTTGCAAGAGTCACAATAGGCTTCTTTCAACATAATGATGTCACATTGTTACCATGGCCACCAAGATCTCCCGACTTATCCCCAATTGAGCACGTGTGGGATATGATGGGTAGGAGATTGCTCAATTTGCAACGTCCTCCTCAGACTCTAGAAGCACTTCGAGAGGAGTTGGTGGTTGCCTGGAATGAGATACCACAGGAGGACATTGACCACCTGATCAGAAGCATGCCTAGGTGCGTTGGAGAATGCGTAGCACATCAGGGTGCATCCACACATTATTAAAGGTCAAAGGGCGTTAAAGCAGTGCAATCATTTTGAAATTTTTATCAGTTACTTATTATGCTTCATTAAGTACTTATACAAAATTTTATTAAAATAAAACCATTTAAACTGGGTGTTCGGATTTATATGTCACTTAGTATAGATAGCGTGTTTCCAAAACATTGGACGAAAATTAAGTCAGTGATTATATGATCTATTATAAGAGCAATTACTTCAAGAGGTACAGGAACTACTCTAACTCAGTTTTGTTCAATTAACCTTTAAACAGGTTTGTGAAACTTTGACAGCATACTAACCACCTGAGATCTCATATAATTATGTTCCTGAAAAACTATGGCATGTGTATCGCCAGAGATGAACCAGCTCTAACTCAGTATGACCTCTTTTTCACTCCCCACATAATGTATACACTTAGCAGTATTATTTTTTTTTTATTAATTTCAACGCAACAGCATAATATGGCACGGGTTGTAATCACAACTTCCACTATACAGCGAAAATGCTCTTTGTCAGTTATGTTATATGATTCTATCAAGTTAACCATTATAGAAAATCCAAATTTATAGAAATTAAAGTAACCAATATCACTTTCGGATATTTAATTAAAATACACTGGATACTTTACTATCAGTTGAGTGGTTTGCGCTAAAGTTATTCGAGATGTTATTTTTCTAAATTTCTTATCCCATTAGTGATCTCGAAACAAAAATGGTCCTGTCAGTAACTTGCATATGTGTTTGGTATAACTTCAAAATTTGTTTTAAATATTTTTATGATGATTACCATTCGAGGTTTTATAAAGAAGTATAATTAATCCAAAATTTCAGAACCACATATATTATTCCCAAGGTACACGCACATTGGGAAGGAAAGCGACTTGGACGCGACACAATGTCACTCGACAATACTTCACATAAGGCTGCCTGTTCAATCGCTTCCTTTTTCCCAAATGGGCGTGCACCTTCATAGCTTGCATAAGAAGTTTTGCTTAATGTAACATCTGAAACTTATCCTGTGGTTTCTATGCCGATAAACTCCGATGTTCGGATGCGTGACATCATGACATCGAAAAGCCAGTACTTCTGAAATTATCTAACTCGCACTGGCATTTTTCATTGAGTCATTTCGCATGAAGCACATTGGACGTAATGCCGTTAAGGCTTGAGATGAGAGGCCAAGAGCTACTCAAAGTGATCTTTTAGACGGGGTTCCAGTCCTGATGACCCTCCCTTGTTAGTATACTCCAAAGAATTAGCCTTTAGCGAAACAAGGACCTTAGACAACTTATTTTATTTATTTTTTTTAAATCATTCCCCAACTTACCATTAGTGATGGTACCTTCAGCATCATCCTCAACCTCCTCCACATAGCTTTCAACGGAGTCCTGCGACTCGAGGTACGGTTCTTGCATACCATCATACCCTTCGTACTCATCAGTGTACGCCATTTTCTGACCGTGACCTCCAAAGAACGAAGTATCGCCGTCGATGGTTTCTTGCTGCTTGACTAGCCCTACCCTGTTTTGCTGCGCCAGTCGCATGTTAGTCTGATTGTGGACTTGAGCCACAGTAACGCTAGGGAGCGTACTGCCATGTATTGCGTTCTGGAACATTATTTTTGTAAATAAATACACAAACATATTCTAAAATGTGGCCTAAAAATTAAAGAATGTGCTTTCCAATCAGAATATGGCCAAGGCTTCACCCACGCTGGAAGTATAGCATACATTTGTCCACAAATTTCACCTTCGGCCAAAAAATGGTGAAGGTTGGGCCAAGGGTTTAAAGAATCAGGATTCGCGAGAAGGTTTGCGGAAACCCTATAGCCCCACTGTACCCACGGGTGCTCAAGCCTTAGGCGTTCGAGGTGGTATGAGGTGTGTGGCTAATTTTCACTATCTATTCCAATTAAATAAACAAAACCAATGAGGATGGCACTAATTTCATTACCAGAACCCAACATATGTAATATTCCAGGAACTTTCGATTTATTAGCCGAAAACCTTCTAGGTGTCATTCTCTGACTAAGTGACTCGACGTTTCTCACCAGAATAATAATTACCAATGGCATTATATTATATTAGTATTCACTCTACTTGAGTTTAATTAGATTTTAATATTCGTACTCTACAAATTATTTTTACGTATCATTTAATTTAACGAATTCCGATTCAATACGAGTATTATGGATTTAATCCGGAGTATCTCTACTTATGAGAAGTTGATCTAAAGGCAATACCGTTGGGTATGGTGTTCCTTCGGAAATGTATTGTAACATATTCAGCTTCAACTTAGTCACTAAAAAATGCCAGAAAATAAAATTAGATAGGAAACTCATGTTAACCTTGACGTAAGAACTTCCGGAAAGTGAAATGCCAAGAATAAGACCTTTCTTTTTTGGATTTCTTTGACTTTTAATCATAAAGTATAAGCCCTTGCTTGGTTGTCGACTAACAGGCTATAGATACGTTTATATTCCTTGAGATTATACGATTATTACTTTCAACGGAGTCAGTTTCATTGCGAAATTGTTTACGAAAGTTGGTGGGTTGACTTTTGAGATGAATGAAATTTGTGCGAAAACTGACATGTTTCTTAGCTGAGAAGTAATTTTGCCTTCAGATGACGAAATATGTGTAATTTTTCAGTAGCTTCCAAGGGTTGTTCGCAGCGTCTCAAAATTTACAAAAGTATGAACTATGAATCTTGAAAAATCCCTGGCGCTTGGAAAGGGATTAATGCGTGGTTAAGCATTAAATCATTTGTAGATTTTCAGTACCAAAGAACTGGTCAACGTCAGAATGTATTTCTGTTGTTAGGGATAATTTTGGAACAATCTCAGGTTTGAACTATAGCTGGATGTCTTTGTAATAACATTTTGAATTAAACATATGTTACTTTCATTGTTGCATATTTATTTATCATTATTGCTTCAATATCAATGTCAGATCTCACTCATTATTTTGTCTTCAAGCATATATTTCACACAAAATTTCAGTTACAAGAAATTCTAGATTTCTATGAAATATTTTTCAATTTCCCTTTGAACATTACCAGACTGGAACTCATTTTCACATTATTGCTCCATTAATTAAATCCGCACAATTCTTTTGGAAGCATTTTCTTGTTAGTTATATTATTTTTGCAGTTATGCAAAAATATGTACTACCCCTACTAGAATAACCATGAAACCCACATTCGAACAAATAAAATTTGGTCAAAGATACTTTATCAACTTGAATATGAAAATGAGAAACTTAAGAAACTTCTTTTATATTTTAGCATCGCAGCCCTGTCAGCGTGACATGTGTTCTAGCATGCTTATTTTTATTTAAAATGATTCTCATATCTTTATTTTGTAACATTTGTAAACGTCAAAATAAGGTAAAGTGAATAAAATAGTCGAACAATAAGGTCGTGATGAAGAGGGATAATCTTGTAATCAATTTTTGAACATAAACACGTAGACTACGCAAACTTATTACAGGAATTATAGAGATGATGATTTATGTCAGAATTTGTACTGTACTGAATTTCATTCCTTGCAGCTTGGACTAGTTACTTCATCTTTTGATATTTCAAAGTTCTGGGACTGATTACCACTATTAGAAAGTTTTACACAAACTCTTGGTACAATTTTTTTTTTGTATGATAAAATCTAAAACAAACCATCTCTAAGGATCATAATGCCCAAGAAATGTGCACTCATCCATGGATACAAATAGTACAAATTTTCACATTACTGCTTCAAATATTGACTTATCCAATTCCAACATTGTCTGATATCGGAATTTTATTTTTGTAATTACCACTGAATTAACACTGAGCTTACTAACACTTAATATTATATACACATTTATATCAATAGAAAATGATCATTTTCAATGCAAAATCCATAACCCGTCTTTTGACCGGTTGTGGTATGTTTGTTGCTAATCGAAAAATTACTATTTATAATGTATTTTTCACCTTCAAGTCTCTAACCAATTCATTCTTGTTTAAGTATTCACTAATGCTAACGACCTCAACCGTTGGTAATTTCCTGTGGATCACGATCTCTTTAGAAGTCTATGAATGCATTTTTCTATAACTATTTTACTGTTTCCTTATCATTCATATCGATTTTTTTGGTAATCGGATTTCGTCATGGAAGAGCCAGGAAATTGTTTCAAATCATTCACGAGAAAAAGTCAAATAGGTGATTTTTGGTACACACCCGAAGCAATTCAGTACTTTGGGAAAATGAGGGTTTCCAGTATTTGTGCTTACCTTTTTTAATGATTTTGTAATACGCAAGATACAGAATCCCAAAGCCTGGATGCTTAAGTGAAAATAATTTTCTGATGAGTAAACTAACGTTAAAATTACAATCTTATATAATCGTTACTTCTCCTAAATATAAATAAATTACACGTCCTGGCGGTACAATGCTTACTAATTTCCTTTGATTACTTCTAAACATACCGTTTTATCCGTATAACTAGTATGGTCCCCTTGATACATCGAGGCGTTGAATTGGTTTCTCTGGTTAACGTCACTCTGATTTCTAATCAAAGTAGAGGTGGTGTCGACATTATTCTGAGCCATGGTCGTATTCGTGAACGTAGGCTCACCAGCAGTTGAGTACTCAGAGTACAGCGAAGACTTGAGCTGCTGGAAGGAACTGCTCACTGACGACACTGCGGTTTCGAATGAGTCTTTTAGTTCATCGTCTCTGGACTCGAGGCTGTCTGTGTTCTGTTGTTGGAAGGGGCTTAGGTCTCGTTTACCTAGAGCAGTTTTATTGTATGGTGATAGCTTTTCTGTATACCGCCAAACTTCAATATCATTATGTCATTAGGTCTTTTGACTATCAAAAATTATCAATGCAAGTCAATGATCTTTTAAGATACTATGGACATATAGTAACAAGATGCATACAAAATTTGCAGAAAATTCGGGTATGATCTATCCATTTTAAAAAATTACATTACATTGCTTTCATGTTATTTTATGAAAAGGCTATAATACTGTATGTGGTAAAACCTTCAAAATGGCAGTTTAAGCTATTTTTTATGTTGACACTTTGCTAAAGAATTCGCTAAAAATGGTAAAATTGGCCTATTATTAAGTAAACACTAAAAGCTACAAGAGCTGATGGGTAAATTTAGGTTACCTCCTGAAAAGGTAGCATTTTTGCTGCTTAAGATTGGCTAAAATTACATATTTATTTATGCTAGTTTTTCACACGTTTATAGCTGTTTATAGTAGAAGTTTTATCCACCAACAGTGTCACTCCGTATTAAAATGAAGCTGCAATGTGTCTTCGAGAACAACGCGAAAGAGAAGGAGCTGACCTTTTTTTACATGCAAAAACTACCATTTAGTACCGTTGAATCTCGCCCAAAATGCCCTCATTTTCACCTTACAAATACAGTTATTTTGTTGCACTGGTTAACTCTACTCTTTTATCCAATGAGCCAAATATCATAAAATAATATACTAAGTGACATATAAATCCGAACACCCAGTTTAAATGGTTTTATTTTAATAAAAGTTGGTGAATGTATTTATCTTACTGTAAATAACAAGTAAACAAATTTTCAGCCTTATCAGTTGGACATTCCGTTTTTTATACTGCTTTTTTTTAATTCACTAACGCTCTAAAAATGAATATTTCAGCCGCAGTAACGAATCAATGTTGGCGGATTTTGGTTCTTGACATCCTTTACGATCGGTAGCGATGCCTACAGTACGGAGACCTGTACGATTTCGTCAACTTAGTGAGTTTGATAGGGGCCGTATAGTGGGACTTCGGGAAGCTGGACTTTCTTTTCGGGCAATTGCAGTTAGAGTGCAAAGAAGTGTAGACACTGTAGTTAGGTGTTGTCAGGCATGGCTTCGAGAAGGCCGTACGCAAAGAGCAAGGGGAACTGGACGCCGCCGTAGAACAACAGACCATGAAGATCGCCGCCTAAGATTATTGGCCTTAAGGGACCGTTTCTCCACTACCAGGTCCATTGCAAATGAATGGTTTGCAGAACACGGAAGACCTATTGGCATGCGAAGTGTTTACCGACGAATGAGAAGTTTTGGCTTGTTTTCATACCGGCCACACTGAGTCCTCCCTTTAACTCGAGAACACCGACGTAATCGCCTTGAGTGGTGCAGACAATGGTCACGCTGGGATCAGGAATGGAACAGTGTTGTCTTTAGTGACGAGTGTCGATTTTGTTTAGGCATGCACGATGGTCGTGCCAGGGTTAGAAGGCGACGTGGTGAAAGGAGGAATCCACAGTTTTTTGTTGAAACACATGTTCGTCACACTGTTGGAGTTATGGTTTGGGGTGCTATAGCTTATGGTTCCAGGTCACCTTTAATCTTCATCAGAGGTAATATGAACGCGCAGCGTTATATCCACGAAGTTCTAGAAGCCCATCTTTTACCCTATCTTGACACCCTGGCAGATCCATCAAGATAATGCCCGACCACATGTTGCAAGAGTCACAATAGACTTCTTTCAACATAATGATGTCACATTGTTACCATGGCCACCAAGATCTCCCGACTTATCTCCAAATCAGCACGTGTGGGATATGATGGGTAGGAGATTGCTCAATTTGCAATGTCCTCCTCAGACTCTAACAGCACTTCGAGAGGAGTTGGTGGTTGCCTGGAATGAGATACCACAGGAGGACATTGACCACCTGATCAGAAGCATGCCTAGGCGCGTTGGAGAATGCGTAGCACATCAGGGTGCATCCGCACATTATTAAAGGTCAAAGGGCTTTAAAGCAGTGCAATCATTTTGAAATTTTTATCATTTACTTATTATGCTTCATTAAGTATTTATACAAAATTTTATTAAAATAAAACCATTTAAACTGGGTGTTCGGATTTATATGTCACTTAGTATATTTTCTCTCAACCCTAAAAATAGTATCATCATAAGTACCAAGTGCTAAGGAACCAAATTAGCATCATTGCATAGAAGAAGAGTTGCATTGTGATTTCTTGAAAGCAATATTGTTGAAAAAAAGCTGAAGCCGAACATGCTAATCTAGGAATTGACAACGTCAATTAGCTCAGAAAAGTAGATCCGGTGGCATATAGGTAGAAAAGTTCAAAATTATCGGCAGTACGTCATTAAGAAATAGGAATGAAATTGGTTGTTTATGAAGTATAACTGACTGTGGTAAACTCGTATTTCCGTGTTGTAAGGCAATTCAAGTATGAATAAAGTTAGATTGGCAGTTTGCCCAGAACCAGAGAAATAAGGACACTGCAGTTACCCTTCACTTTCCGTGAACAATATCATTGCATCTTCTTTATTCAGACATTTCTGACCAAAGGGACGCAAAAGTTACGAAGCTACAATTGTATACTTACCCATAAGTTTTTTCCTCCTAGGCTCTGCATTGTAGTACCCTTGCTGGCTATAGTCCTCATTCTGTCCATAACTCATATAATCAGTCTGTTGCTGCTGCTGTACCCCTGACGACTGATCAGTGTTCGTGTAGAGATAATTTGCATTGCTGATGTTCCTAGTATCACCTACGGCTACGTTTGATACTGGAGGTGTCGGAAGAACGTGATATTGTGGCTGCTGCGGCTGGGGTTGCTGTAGCTGAATTTCTTCCTGTGATAGGTCATCTAAAATACCAACAACATGTTGAAAACCATTGCTTGAATTTTTTAAGGTGTCAAGTGTACTACGAGTTCGTCCACCATGGTCAAAAAGCATCACAAACTGAACAAACGTACAAGTCAACTATTTCTCAGGTATAGATATAATTTTAAAGTAAACGATCTGCTATCGTCCGTTCGACCAAAGACAGCCAAGCATGGACTGCTGTTTCATGCTTTTTGGTTACTCCCATGCTTAGGGCCCCTCGGACAACGAACAAAAGCATAGCAGCTGTACACTATAAAAGGTGTGCGATCTGCCGAAATAAAATAGCTCAAAGCATCATCTACAGTGAATTTCAGCCTACTGGTTGGGATTGTATAGACCTCAATCACCACGTGACCGCAAGATGGCGACAATCCTAGCTGTACAGTAGATGCGGTCTACCTGCCATTGGCTGGACAGACGAAAGCAAGGCATCTTAATTTTCTTTTGTTCAATGGCAAGTAGACCACATCTACCACACAGCTAGAATCATCGCCATCTAGCAGTGGTGACGAAGCCTCCTTCGCGAATTGAGGACTATTCAATCTAAACCGCTGGTTCACATTGGTTGATTCTACTGGTAGATGGCGCTTTGTGCTGTCTTATTTTGATAACAATCCTCCGTGTTTGCCTGGCCGCTAAATAAGACCACATGACCACTATGTTTAGGTCACCAGGATTTTGATATTTTGTCATTGTCAATTGTCATTGATACCTGAAAAATGCAACCGTTGTGAAAGAAACGTCATATGAGTAAACAGTAATTTAAATATATTATGTGCATTCATTTATTGGGTAGACAAAAATGGAGCAAATAATAACATGAAAAGCATAGGACGAGTTTTAGGTGTTCCATCAATATTTTAAGCGTCACTACTGATAAGTAAAATATGACGTAACGGACGGTTTCCTGATTTTTTTAAGTGATCACTAGCTTTCATTTCCTCAATTTGACCCATCCAGAAACCATGAGGCGGTGCCGTAGATGCAAACACACGTAAAAGAGATTCAGTTCCAGTACCGGCCCACAACCTCATATATCGTATGTTCAGAGCCAATCATTCTTGTAGTGTCTTTATTTTTCTAAGGGTTTTAAGCAATTTTCTGAAAACTGAAGGAGGGTGGAGCATAACTCATCAGGGAATCGTGTTGAGGCGACAAAAGTACCTCTTTTCTGTAGGGCTGTGTGGTAATTCCACCCCTTGCCTTTTTACCCTCTGCAACCTACTCAAAGTGGGTAGATAGATAGACAGATAGAAGCTTTATTGTCCAACAGTGGCCCATTAACAGGACAATATTATAAAAAATCCATACAAAAGATACCGAACAAGCTATAGTTGAGTCATTTATTTTAAGTGAGTAGATCTGATCAAAAAAAATGTTTTTGTACTTTAACATTTTTCTGGTAAAATTAAAGTAACAAAGTTGTAGTCCTTTAGAAGTTTGAGTACCGCCCTGTCTCAATAATAATATTATGTGCTCGTGTTTGGCAACAACGGATATAATCCTTATCGGTTCATCGCATCGGAAACAAAAAAGCGAAAGAATTTGAAACGCTTATCACGATGTTTTTACTACAATTTCATTCAGTTGCATTCAGTCAGTGTGTCAGTCGGTAACGCGTGAGTGAATAGTGGTGTTTGTTGCGTGGCTCAAACGAAATAAAAAATGGCACATGTTTACGAAAATGTTGAACTTGTGGACATGATTCTTATTTAAGGGGAGGGAGTCTTTACAAAATGCTGCCGCGGATCGGTTTCGAGTGCAACCAACCCCTCGTGCCTTTGTTAATGTAGTACAAAGGGCTCGTGAATCAGGTGACTTAAGACCTCACGGGGGAGGGCATGCCGGTGCTCCAAGACCGCACGATCAAATACAGGTCTGAACTGAAATACTTGTCGGGAGATACTTTATAAAACAAGGTAACATTTTTGTTAATTATTTTTATTATTTTTACACACATATTTTGGTTTATCTTCCATCTACAACCATTATCTGCAAATTAATGACTCAACTTCAAAGTCACCCTATATATACCCAAACAAAATTAGCTCACGTATATCCTGGACCTACGTATGTATTAGCTATCCTAACTAACTTTTTGTTAGAAGTACAAAATATGTCACAGAAAGTACAGATTCTATTGAAATTTTTAATCAGATTATTTAACGGCGACTAGTGAAATATTTGTTCTTGCCCTTGTAGCTCTGAACGTGAAGTGAGTACGCGACGCAAAAGTCGGTACACTGATATTGATCTTTCCAAGAAGTGAAGAACTATCAATTAGATTATATAAAAGCTTAAACAAAAACAACAATGTCGCGCAAGTCCTACACTGCTCCAGAGATATAAGGTCAACACGACTGTATAATTCGGTATTGATAACACCCCTTCCTGGGTAAATTCCATCAATATTATAAACTAAGAACTTAGAAAATCTTCTCTGTACTTTTTCCAAACAACCCTTTTGGCACTCATAAAAAGGATTCCAAGCTATGCAAGCATACTCCAGTTTAGACCTAAGAAAAGCAAAATACAGTAGCTTAATGGTCCTTATGTTATGGAAATGTCAACAGTTTCTAACAACACATCCATATAACTGTATAGAATGAGAAACCAATGCTTCAATATGTTTACCGAATGTCAACTTTTAATCAAACATCACACCTAAATCCTTAATTTCGGTAAAACGCTCCAGAGATAGCCTATTCAACAGGTAAATAAAGTGATAGGTAGTTTTCCTCCTAGAATAACTCATAATTTTACATTTGGATACCTAGACAAGACATAACTTATTCATATCACACTAGTGGTGGAGGATGTCCAATTGAGTCTGAACGAAAGTACAATCATTCAAATCATTGAAAACGGAATATGTTTTCAGATCATCCGCAAACATAAACGCTCACTCTGTGACTCTTCATATAAATCATTTATGAATAGCAAGAACAGCAGAGGACCCAAATTTGTACCTTGCGGAACACCGGATGAGGCCAAGCAAGTATCAGAACGAAAATTTTTATACGAAACAAATTGTTACCTCGAAGACAACTAAGATTCAAAAAGGTCCCTAGCATCACTAGAAAAGCCAAATTTGATTAACTTTCCAAGCAATACATCATGATTTATTCGATCGAAGGCCTTCGAGAAGTCCGTGTAGATGACGTCAACTTGACTATTGTTGTCCAATGCCTCCGAAATATATTGCGTTATAGTAACTAGATTTGTAGCAGTTGAAGGGTTTTTAATAAATCCATGTTGATGTTGTAAGAGTTGATTATGCGCCGAACTATAAATACGATTGAAAAGTATTATCTCAAATACCTTCGAAAACATGCACAAAATGCAGATCGGACGATAATTTTCAATATTGGACCTGTTTAAAGTTTTCAGTACAGGGGACACTTTGGCGACTTTCCAAAGTTTCGGAAACTTCTTTGACCGAATACACAAATTAAACAATTTTGTTAAAAAAGCAATCATTACTTCATTATCATAAATTTCATCAAAATGTACATGAACAAGATTGTTGAAACTATCGTCCACATTATCCAAATCAGCAGCTTGAGACTCTATGTAGACACTCTGGAAAAATACACTAAAGGCATTCACAATGTCTTGCGGATTATCAAATGATTCGTCAAGGTAAACCATCTTTCCAGAGATCCTAGATGTGTTGTTTTTTGAATTCACATATGACCGGAACCTCCTAAGATCATGCGATAATGAATGCTGAATATCTTCAAGGTATTTGAAGGCAAGAAAGGCAAAATGTGATAAATAAGAGTGAAAAAAGTTAATATAGTTTTGTGGCGCGTTAGTTTAACAGTATTGAATATTTAAAAAAATGCTATTATTAGGTGATGGTATCTTCGCTATTTTAAGGGGTGGTTGGGGGACACTAGGTGATGGGGATCGTCCGTTTAGGGTAGAATCGACTTAATTTTTTCCAAAAGATACTACAGGAACTGACTTTGAACATTTTCATCCAAACTAAGTTAGGGCCGGAAACCGGCCTTATCATCTCTACTCCTTTAAAAATCATTCAAAACGAACATAAAATTGAGACAGTTGTTGCTTTACTGGTTCACTGAGCAAACAACCATTTTATGATATCTGAGGAAAGAGAATCCTCTGGAATCATATACACGTGATCAAACGGGAGCCCGCGCGCTAGAGCGATGCGAAGCGTCCCGACCGGTTACGTTTGATATACCCAAATGACAAGCCCCGCCGCGGTTATCTTCGAGTAGCTTAGTTCCATTGGACGTGTAACTTGACGCTTCTGATACCGAGGCGACACCAATTTCAATTGTGTGTTTGATGACTAAAATTGTGTCTTAATGTAGTATAATCTACGAAACCATGAATACGTACATGAGCACAACTCACCTATACTTTGATATGCATAATTGTAGTCTTCATTATAATATTCTTCTCTAGCACTTACTGCTCCCGCCCTCACGAAATAGCTATTATCGAATTCGTCAGTATTGTCCGCGTAATCTGCTGAACTTGTTCTTTTCAATAAACTACTTCTTTTAAGTCTGAAAGCAAACAGTATAAATGTCTGTAAACATTAAGGAACAGCAAAGCTCTAGTGTTTAATTAAATACAACCTCTTATCTCTATCGTCTATTATGATAATATTTTTACCGGATACAACGCATAGCTGACAAGCGTACGGCAAAATTTCTTTCGACTCTAAATAAATATTAAACAATTTTTCTTTATCCATCAATTAGAAGATTAGTGGAGATGTTAGGCCCTTTTATCAGATACGGATATTGATCTCATAATGCATTATTAACGATTGATAAATTTATGTAACAATACCAAAAAACCCATTCTGGGCGAGATTTGTCTTCGATAAGTTTTCTTCACAGTCGACCATTCGAGTTAGATAAATAAAGATTGCAAGCATGGTTATTTACGATGTTAAAGTTTTGATCATCAAGTGCCTAAATCTCAAATCAAACATTCTTTCACAGGATCCCAATGCAAAATTTGAGATTTTATATTATTAAAAACTGTCTATCATGTTGTGTCCTGGTTGTCAAAAACACTAGTCGATTTTGTGATATAAGGTGTTAGTAATGAAAAACTCGTTTGAGAAGGCTACTTTTCGAACTGGGTATGTGATATACTATTACTGATTCGCAATGTTTACTTGCACATCATATTTCTCCTTATTCTGAGGACTCTCACTGTGTTCACGAGAGAATCAAATCTGAATATTTTTTTCGCTAAGTGAAGTAATGACACGATAACTCAATCATGCTGTTCAGAGTTTGTCTCAAAGTAGACAGTACTTTATTGCCCATTTGAGTCAGCTATGTGGACTAGAGTGTCCAGTGGGAAAGTTCACATTTCAAATTTGAATTACGCGGCAACCGTATACGCGAGAAAGTGGAGAGAGGTCTTGATCGACGCGTTCGGAGTGCGGGTTAAATAGTCACAATGGAAAGTTGGACCGGAGCGCAAAGTTCTTTTGCTATCGGCTGGTGGTTCATACGAAGCTGCCCTTCGGAAATTTTGTACACAATACAACATTCGCAGACCAAGAGATGTCCCAAGTAAGAACCTATTGAAAATGTGGATTAAGGGTTCCGTGAAACAGGCTCTACTGTTAGTCAACCCATTCCTGGCCCTACACTAATTGTATCAACCAAAGTTTCGGTTATTGCAAGTCCTCGGCGTTCTGTACGGAAACATTCCGCTGCTTTGGGAATCCCAAGGTCAACACTGAATGGCATAATGAAGAAAACATGGGTTTTTATATCTTTATGAAGTTCACTCAGTCCATATTTTAAAGGAAAGTAATTACGTATTACGGAAATCTTGTGCTGAACGGATGTTGAATCTTTTTCCTATGCAGCGCAGACTCGAGAACGTTATTTTCAGTGACAAAGCCCATTTTCATTAAACGGTTACGTGAACAAGCAAAATTGCAGATATTGGGCACCAATGAACTCAAAAGAGAAACATCAATAATAGCAACATAGTCCAAAGGTGACTGTTTGGTGCGTCATATCCTCTAGCGGTATTATCGGGCCGTATTTCTTTGAAGATGAAAACGGTCATCCATTGTTAGTCAATTCCGAGCGATACAAGGTCATAATTGACACTTTTCTTGCTCCTATTGTAAGAACAGAACGTCGACCTAACAGAAACATACGATGACAGTACTTTTTTATCAAAAAGTTATATCGAAGTTTGGAGACATTCGCTAACCATCTAGGTCACCCGATCTCACGCCATGCGATTATTTGCTGAGGGGTTATCTAAAGTCAAAAGTGTATTCCAATAATCCACGAACACTGTAGGAGCTTAAAGACAACATTCGACGAGAAATAAACATGACTCCGGAACTCTGCAGGAGAGTGTTTCAGGATGTTTTGCGCGCGATTGGAAGAGTGTCTCCGAAGGAATGGCGAACATTTGGACAGAATGATATTTAAGAAATATTGTAAGTTGTTTTTTTTCTTGAATTAAAAAGTGAACTTTGCCACTGGACACCATGTATATCCGGCTAGATATTTTGCTGTTGGAGATGTATACCTAGTAATATAGTAAAACATACCTAGCACTTCTAGCATCGAGGTTAACCGCAGGAAGTTGCCTTCCTTTCGGAGAAGGCACATTGTGATTGGTCAACCTCAACTTTGAGTTTTTGGTGGGAGTAGGCGGTAGACTTGCTCCTCGACGTCCGACGCTAGGCTCTGGGGTCATATTGTATACACTCATTAAATCTAAGAAAAAGTAAGTTATAGTTTAGTAAAGTTACCCAAAAAGCCATTTCAGTGAAATATACAAAAAAGGTTGTTTCATATTCGATCTAATAGATTCAAATCTTCGACTTGATACCTGCGTGTATTTGGACATCACCTACGAAAACGCAAGTAATGGGAAATTACAGATAATTATGAACTTCCATTTTCATTAGAACTATTTTTAGAAATTGTGTGGATTTCAAAACTACTCATGTTCTGATCAATATTAGAACTACTGTGAATACACCATTTAATTAAAGTATGAAATAGGGATTACAGTATCTGAGTATTCCGTCATTATTTTGAAGAATATACAACCATCTTGTTAAAAATTCTAGTTACTATCGACAAGTTACGAATTCCAAATTTAACTGTGATGGAATCATCTTTAACCGACTTTTTTGTGTGATAAAATGGAAGTTTTCTATACACGCACTATACGCAATGGCACAGCTGGTGGACACGACGAGTAGTGCAGTTATTGCAAGACGCTCTGCGTAATTGAAATCTTTGATGTCAAAACTGCCCTCACTGCGATCCAGTGGCAGAAAAGGGCGTGCGGGTTACCTGCCAATAATGGCGACGGGCAAAAACGAAGATACTTTAAAGCGGCTCCTGGCATATGAAATGACTAAGTTCAGCATAACACTAGAAGTAAATAGTTGATAGGAGACATCTATAAAGCTTTTCTGCTCGAAAGAAATTTTTTTCAGAATGTGGAATATGAAACAGAGAATTTAAGTTCACATATCTGATACGGAAATCAAAAAGAAGAAAGTATAAAATAGTTAATTTATCTACAGCTTTGATGACGATGATATCTGTAAATGCATTTTACTCAAGGTTGTTTAATAGTCGTATTAGAGTGTGTGTAACACTCTGGTTATACGATATTGGCAAGGTGGCTATTAATGTTTTATTAAATCCTGTGAACATAGTCTAAGACACGGTATAAGAAATAAGTGTGTCACGTAATGACTGTATGGCAAAATTTTGTTTTAGTACCTATGTCTTATAGGTTGAAATGTACACATTTGCTTTCCGTCTCTGTAACCACGACCAACCGCAGACAACGCTCGTTGTTAACTCATCAATGCGATATAGGTCTAGGCTTGGAGACAGACGAAGGCTAACCAAACATAGTGAGTATAGTTTTTTGAAGAACTCAAAACATCGTGTGCAAGTGGATGATCGTCTGACCATCAATCTGACCTACCAATGGTTTGTAAAGCTGACTTTCAGCCTCATCCGATATGAAGAAGATGATACATGATCACTATCTGCGGTTAATAATGGTTGTAGAGACGGAAAGCAAACATGACCATCTCAGCTTGTGCCTGTTTATGCATATATGCATTGAACGGCATTGCTGATTTTCTTAGTGATTTTCAGCTACTAGTTTTATAGCTTTCGAAATTTTCAACTTTAGTTTTTTTGATTATATACTTTTATATAATACATCTAAAAATAGCAACCCTTCTGATCCAGGCTTATTTCAGCACAATCTCTCTCTATCCCATCTAGTTTTATTTTTCACCAGGATGGCGAGAAAATCATACCAAATCTTAATGAAAATCTATTACCATATTTGACTTTTCATACCCTGTAATGTGAGAGAGTTAAGTAAGATCACTGGGCCTAGCGGTCGAAAAAGTTGTTTGGTTATTGGCAATTTACAGATGCCAATATTGCCTTCCGCACTGTTCTGTTTATAATTATAACAGAAGAGGGTCATTTTCGCAAATATCAAAAATGACTTGTAGACAAAAAAGGCCAGGACTGATGTGAAGGATAATTCATAATGAATCTATTGATATTGCTGTTACTAGAGCCCAATTTTGGTACCGGAGCCAGCTCAGCTTGATATACTAATTTTGTAAAGCAACCCAATGTAAAATTTAGTTGTTTCAGGTTCAGCAATCTTAGGCCCGTATCGTCAGTCGTCCCTACAATTGTAGGGCGCCTTTATGGCCTCCTTGATTGTCATAGTTTTCTACTTCTCCGTGTCAGAACTATATTTTGAGGTTATGTCACAAACATCTATTTGCATCAAGTTGGGCTTGCTTTTGAGTTATATTATGTTTTATCAGCCTGAAATTTCCTACAATCTGGAAAGAAAACATATCTTCACAATAGGAGAGCGCTGACGCTGACACGGGACAAGTGTAATCTAGAAATTTTTGAAGGAGAGAAAGGGGTATGACAATCAAGGAGGCCATAAACGCGCCCTACAATTGTAGGGACGACTGACGTCACGGGCCTTAGTGGCAATGAAATAAGGCTAAGAGAGGGATCTGGATTTTCCAAGCAATCTACTGTTAAGCCTTTTGGATTTTCTACTCAATAATGCAACATTTGCAATACATGTGACTGCAACCTGTCACACCATACCCGTCCAGTATGCTGAGCTAACTTTTTGAACTATTTAGCATGGCGACCATACTTGATTATGCTATACTATGAGGTATTTATGTCAGAATGTCTTTGTTTTCAAAATTTGCTGCAACATTATAATACTTCGACACATCACACTCGACCGGATCGATGCCACTTCAATCATAAGCATTCAACACTCATAAAGATAGATCTAGCACATCGTCCATTCCATTGCCATCAATGCCGCTTAATACAAATTACCCTTCCAGGTCAATCCTGTCCATTATTTCACGATGTCATAAAATGCTGTCTTTTCATATTTGCGAAAACTCACACTTCTCCGTTGTGGTTGCTAATTGCTTGAACTAATTAGCACATAAATCATACTTAGAACTTAAAATTACTACCTTTCAAAATGACGGTCCGGAAGACTGTCAAATATGAGCTTTTTTGTACATCGGATCGTTTATAACTCAATAACGAACCTTCAGAGCGTATGTTCTATCTATCTCCTTTTCTTCTTCTTTTCAACCGATTTCCTACATCTTACTGCACATTCAGATAGACCCCAAATGAAAAATAGTGATAATTATATCGTTTTAATGTTATTGAGCAAGAAGCGACCGAAAGTACAGCAACTCTCAGCCTGCGCCTTTGAAGGATACTCATTTCATATTAAAGGAGTCATACGAGCCCAAAGAATTAAATATTCGGAAACCTTTACATTTTGACAAATGGAACCACAAATTAACTGTTGCCTTCTCAAAATGTATCGCAAAAACGTATAATGGTAGATAAGTATAATAAACATCTATTTTCTATCGCGGCACCACTGTTTTCAAATGCATTACCTTGAAACAGACAGAATCACTTAAATATCTCGAAATATGAGGATAACTAAATGTTCGGACAGATCAAGAAACATACCATATCATTAGAGAAAAGCAGAGACTAGCAGGCTTCGCAGAAACATATGAGCCCAATATCGTTGGAAATTTTAGGTATTTGAAAATTATATTTTCTTGTTGCTGAGTTACATTTATGCAAAAGTGGTACGAGGTGTAGTCACTAATTAGAAAGTGAGGGAAATTATTATACAGCAGTTTTGCAAAGGAAAGTCAATACGCGAAATATCAAGTGAGCTTGTTATCCCAAATTCTACAGTTTCGGACATTGTAAAAAAACATAGGGAAACTGCAAGTACTGATGTCCGCGGTAAAAGTCCAGGTCGACCAAGGATTGTAACAGAATGGAATCGAAGAGCTTTGGTCGAAATCTACAAATCGGGTACGCGAAACACTTTAAGGGAAATCACCACTCACTGGAACACAAAGTGTGAGATGCAGCTTTCACGAGAATGCTGTCGAAAATACATTCGGAAATCTGGACTCAAACTTTATAAGGTATATATTATAATATTACATATTATTACAAAGCAATGAAAATATGTTTTTCCTTTATTTAGGCTAAAGAAAAACCGCTAACTGAAGTCCAAAAGCAAATATACTTAATTTGGGCGAAACAAAAGCGCTGTTAGACGTATGAGCACTGAAGCAATGGCATATTTAGTGACGAAACCAAATTCGATGTAAGCGAAAAAGGGTTTTCAGAAGCAAAACTGAAACCTTTCACCAAGACTGTATTAAACGTATAGACAAATTTTCCAAAGGTACTATGGTGTGAGGCTGTATGTCTGCAACTGGAATGGAATGTCTTCATTTTATAGATGGCACAGTGATTGCAGCTAAATGCCAAGAAATCCTGAGGAACTATCTTCAGAGAACAATTCCTGAACTGCGCGTTAAATTGCAAGAAATTTGGAATACATTTACGCAGAAAAACTGCCAAGCATTGGTTAGGGCCATGCCGGCAAGAGTTCAGGCGGTAATCAAGGCAAAAGGCGACGTAAAAAGACATTAGAAAAAATTATTGAAGCTGATTTTTGTAGTGTCCGAATATTTAATTGTCATATATTTTTGTAAAGCTGAGTTTGTTTATTTTCTTTCATTAAAATTAATTCTCAGGGAGAACAGGGAGATGTTATTTCTTATGACAATTTGGACAGCATATAAAGGTGTTCGATATGAAGTTATTTGGGCTGGTACAATGCTAATTATGAAACTGAAAATGATGTATGACGTGACGCCACGTTCTACTTTACAAATGTTTCTAGATGGCTGTTGAAATTTCCAACTGCACCATCAAATAACTGAATTTATACATTTCATATACCGTATCTCACACTAACAAGTTTTCAAGCTTCATCGTATGGATCATTACACCTGCGCAAGACTGGGAGAAGAAACCTACCCGAGTCCCCTATGGACCCTTGTCTGCTGTGCAGCCCCCTGGCGGGTGGCACCTGCGGCATCTGCCGCCTGCCCGTGGGCGTGGCCGTGGCCGACCTGCGTTGGGCAATCGCTAAAGCTGGAATGGCGGGCAACCGCTTTTGGAGGCGGTGTTGAGTAGCGGCAGAGACTGGCGCGGGCGGCTGCGGCTGGTACCGCCTCCCTCCCGAGTCCCATTGACGGTCCTCCTCTTCTTGGCCATAGCGTTCTTCTTGGTACGGAAGGGTGTCGTAGTACTCGCAGTCGAAGCTGTTGCGGTATGCTTGGCTGGAATGCGAGGAAAAGGTGAACAGTTAGTACGAAGCTGATGCTTCACTAAGCTATGTTAGCGTTTTGTGAAGATATGCGAATAAGACCCGTAACGAATGCAGAGCTGTTTAGCGTTATGTGGCTCAATTTTGTTGTACTATTTAAGATTATTAATTATTTAGAATATATTTTTCTTAATATACAGGGTGATTGTCTAGTGTGATAGCTATGTTAGTATCAAAATATTAAAAACATGTATAGAAACCGTAAGCAGGCATTACTTGGAAAATATGCCGAACTAGACAAATTCAAGTGGAACACCCTGTATATTTTCACGGTTTGGGTTATCCTTTTTATATTCTTCATTTCAGAAACAAATTTTTCAGGGCTGAAACACTAAATGACTTAGTTATTTGCAGTGCTATAGAAATTACAATTCGGAACTAATGAAAGACCATATGATTCGTCTGGAGGGAAGATTTTTGGTGAATGGGTACACAAGCCTTCATTGGTATTACCGCAAAAACCACTGAAAATAATCCCTTTGTGCAAATAACGTATTTAGTGGTTTTGAATTATTGTGCCTGGAAAACTGCAGATACTTCAAAACTTCAGTAATATTATTATTATTAAAAATAATTTGAACATTACTCTATACGGCCATGCTATTCGGATCGAAGAATCAGTTAAAAACTTGGGTTAGTTTATAGACGATAATCTCAAATTTATTTCTCATGTAAATCATGTAACTAAAAATTGTTTTGCTGTTTTACGGAATCTGTAATTAAATAAAGAAATACTTGATTTTAGATCCAAAACAATTTTATGTGAATCTTTAATAATATCAAAAATCACATATTGTGATTTAGTATACTATTGATTTCTAGATTCAGTTTCAGCTAAAAGTCTACAAAAAATTCAAAATTCGTGTTGTAGATGTTCAACTTAAATAAATATGATCTTATTAATTAGTTCATGTTTCGAACAGCTGAACTGGTTGAACGTCCTGCGTAGTTCGATTGCTTGATTTTTGAGAATTAAATTAATATCCCGTGTATATATCCATTCAAGAAATATTCGATCCACTGACACTTTAACTATGCCTCGTCATACAACTTTAGTTCATAAATTCTTTCCCTATAATGCCATCAATCTATATAATGCGTTACCATCGACTGCTAAACATTTTAATAATTTCAATAAGCAAATTAAACAAATAATCTTCGATGCTCAAATCTGAACCTCCAGTATATAGGTTATATAGTTCAGGAATATTTTTGCATAATATATAAATTGTTTATAGTTTTTTCTTTCTTTTTGAACACTCATGTGTACGTTGTATTCAATATGTAATTGTTGTTTAAATTTTTGAAGAATATTTTGTTAAAATTATCTTCAATGTTCTAGTGCTAGTTATTCTCAAGGGTAAAGTGGTAGAATAGCTTGTAGGTAAACTTCGCCTGAATAAAAGCCGTTTATTATTATAACCCCCTAAAATTTAATTTAATCTATATAGTTTGAGTGTTTTTCCAAAGTGTCCCGTGCCCCAAAAGTACCGATCATAAACCGTATCTCACACTTCTCTTTTGAAAAGGCCTTACAGAATGTGCTCAAATATGCAGGGCATCCCATTTATAATGCAATTTTGTGTTGTCACCTAGTCATGAATAACCCTAGGGATGGTCATATTTTTTAAGAAACGAGAATATACTTATCTAGGATATTTGTGATTGGTTCGACGCTGATTTGTGAATAACTTTGTTAGATATCTCATCATGTGTGTTATATGACGAACTTTTACTAGTAGGTCGGAAACTATCTACACTTCTAAACTAACTAAAACACTGCAATACCATAATTTAAGACTATATTTATTGCTCTGAATTTTTACCAATAGCTCAAAAACTATTTCAGTTACTTTAATAAAACCATGTAGACTCCAATATCTAGATTATATGTATATTGTAAATTTACAAAGGAACATTGTTTTAACAATATACAGATAATTTTTAGAAGATAATAGCTCGACAATATAACAAACGATTTCGCGATCTACTGCCTGGTGATATATTGATTAACACCTTTAGTTCGTCATAACGCTAAGAGATGGCGCGACTGTATATAGTTTGAAGGCAATGGCCGCGGTGCAATCTGATAATGATTTTGCTCGTAGGATACGTATTATTTGAAACTAATCAGGACAGCATACCTATGCTCGCAATATTCAGTTAACTGTTGCCAATATGTTAATTGATATTATATTTCAGTGCAAGATGACATGATTTACACAACAACAAGAAAATCTCAGAAAAGCGTACCTATATGATAGAAACTAGTTCTCTCTCTCTGTCTCTCTCTCTTTCCGATATATGTACAATGGTTGCGTTCAATTGTACTTAGCTGCTACGAGCTAGTGCTGGGTGAAGTATGGTTAAGATCAGCTGCTGACTATCGCTCGCTATTGATTTGATCTGCTGACAACTTGTACATCTCAGCATAAATTGTTTCACATGCATGACTTCTGTCAATCAACTTTGAAGCTTTCAAAGCGGCCCATTTAGATCAACAAATTCTGAATAGGTAAAAGAAGCAAGCAGACGACTTGTTCCGAGTCAGAATTAACTAGTAGTTAGTAGTCAGAGGGCTAGTTCATACATACATCAGGCTTAAGCCGCCAGTTTAACAGTTGTTGACATACATTAAATTCGTATTTTTGTACGAAAACATAATGAGTGTGTGGGTTCCATATAATCCTAATGTTCCAGACAACAGCCGAAAATGGTGGAAGTGAAGACCTTCTTGTCAATAAGTTCTAATATATTATAATCATCGGCGTTGCGAACGGGACTGTGCCCCAGCATTAGGACTTGTAAGATAATTTTGCCTTATTTTATTCCACTTCTTCTTTCTGTGAGTGCTCTATCCCAATATGAGATTTGTTAAGTTAACAGAACTGTATACGTAACAACTGTAGTAACAAATACAAAACATTGGAGGCAAACCTGTTTTTTTATTTTAAATGTACAAGTTTACTGAAAAAATATAACGCAAAGTGTCATCTATTACCAGAATCGATCTTACCCTGGATAGAGGATAGTTGCTCAGCTTTCGTTCATTGTCCTCCCTGAGACCAGGTCTATATCATGCTGATAGGGTAAGTCCGGGAGAGATCGACCACATTTTGGAAAAAATATTGTAAATATTTTGGTTTCTGAGGTACATGTTTTTTTAACTGTTGAAGCATTACCTAAAGGGTTAGGATAGTAAATAAATCACAATTTAAGATATAATACAAACATAAATGTTTATTTTGAACTAAAAGTTTAAACATTGTAACTGGTCGATCTCACCCGGATGTCCGGGTTAGACCGACCACTAACTACGGGTGAGATCGAGTTCGAAAAATAAGAAAACATAAAATAATAAAACATGTTTGAACAGTATAATAATAAGGGTAGAATTAAATCGTATAAATACATTTAATTTTTTCGACTTCTCTTGTTCAATTTTCCGCATATATCGCAAATATTCTCGAATTTTGAGCATCCATTATGAAACCAACGACTACAGTTCACACATTTGAGCCATTCGTCATTCTTGGTGGTTTTAAAATAATTTTCCCCACATCCTACGCATTCGTTTTCGTCCCATTCATCTGCTGATGTATCACTTTCCTGCAATACTGGACTTTCACTCTCCGAATCTGAATCTTCTAATGTTTTTTCTGTTTAACCACAGTTTTTTCTGAATTGGACATTTGTTTTTTTTCTTTGTTTTCTTTTTATCCTTCTGAATCTCAATTCGTTGTGAACTGTTTAAAATAGTTGCAAGCTGCCTACCTCGTGTTTTAACTACTGCTTTTGCGTTAGTTTTGGGAATGGGTGAAATCACGTTCTCCAACAATTTTGCTGGTGTGGGGTAAATGTCAACTATTGCACTGTCAGGATCGTGCGAACAACCAGGCAGTGGTGACAAAATGCGGGTATTAGTTGTCTGAACGGTAGGGGACCGGGGCGGAGTCGAAGAAGAGGATGGATTCTTAGTGTTATTATTTGAACCAGACCTGGTTTCTGCATCTTGTTCCATTTGAATATTAATATACGCGTAATCTGGAATAACTTCTGGGTTAAAAGGTGCTATGCCTGTAGCTCTAAAACCAGACATTCCATTTTCCACAGTCGCTGATTTGCCCCAGGCTTGTCCCAAAAGATTTCCAAAAATTATCCTTGTTATTTTCCCACTTTGATTTGCTTTTAAAAAATTGTTACAAGCCGCGTAGTAATTGTTTTTCAGAGATTTAAAAAAGGACCTATCTAACGGTTGTAGATAATGAGTCGTGTGACTCGGTAAACAAAGTAGAATTATGTCATTAGCTTCACAAAATTCCAGTATTTCCACAGAATTGGTATGAGAAGTATGGCCATCGACAATTAATAACGCTTTTCCAGCTGGTTTTCTTGGCAAAAAATGAAACTCCAACCAATCCTTGAAAATGGAAGCGTTGATATACGCCGATTTCTCCGACATAGAAATTTGGGAGCCAGGTGGCATTCCTTCTAAAAACTCCATTTTTCTATTTTTACCTTTAAATATGGAGTAAGGTGGGAGAAACATCCCCTCTGCATTGCAGCACGCTATAACCGAAATTGTTTCGCCTTTCTCACCTGAAGTTAACGAAGAAACACTTTTTGATCCTTTTGCGGCTAAAACTTGGGTTGGTCTATTGTTTAATTGCAAACCGCTTTCGTCCATGTTGAATACATTTGAAGGTTTGCTATGAAGGTGGTTATCAGTGAGAACATTTTCTAAAAGGGTAAAATAGTGTTTCACAGACAGACGGTTCATTCCAGTCGCACGGTTAATAGAAATTCCTTCGGCTTTTCTAATCGATATATCAGGTTGTCGACGTAAAAACGAGTTAAGCCAATCATAACCGGCCTTGCCTCTTTCTTTATTAAACGTGTGCTTCAGTTTTAATTTTTCTGCAAGTTGAAAAGCCCATATTCTGACGGACTCCCGATCTGGTGCAAATCCAAATGTTTGCAAATTTTTTATGTGTCGCACCAATTTTAGTTCTGCATCTTCTCCCAACGCTGATGACGAACCTAATCTGTGTTGTTTTATTGCGTCCCCCTTCTTAATCCTATCTTTTAGCGTTGTTTTAGGTATTCCAAATTGTCTGGCGGCTTCATTTACACCCATTGTACGATTTTGTACACATTCAATTGCGTTTCTTAAAGAACCGGTACTCCATTTAGCTCTCTCTTCATTTTTCCTTTTGTAAGTCGTGGGCATTTTTGTTAATCTGTAACAATATTATTTTACAATAATTTTATTTTTTCAAATTGAGCCTTATTGTATCACTAATTTCCTGTAGACCGCCGAATATTTCATTATTACTATTATTATTTCCATGGTCGGTCTCTCCCGGATTGATGTGGTCGTACTCTACCAAAGTTACGGGAGAGATCGACCACCTTGTTAACCGAAGGAAAAATGATAAATGCCTACATTTTTGTGGTTATGTTATAGTTTGATGCATATTTTATCATCCAGTATTGAAACAGTTCAATTAAACTTACCCGTCTTTAAAATATCACGAACACAGTAAATCAGTCAAAAAATTGTCAAGTTTGCACAAATTTTTAAATTTAATTTGTACATTTATACTACTGTTACGGAGCGTGTTTACGTGTTCCATGTAACAAGGTCAACTAATTGCATCATACATGTGAGTCACGGATTCATCTATTGCTTTGTGGTTAAGTTACCGGCAGTGGTCGGTCTCTCCCGGTGGTCGATCTCTACCGGAATTACCCTACCAAATACCACAAAACAACTGTCCATGATTACCCACCTTTGACGCGATGAATGAAGACCGTATTACTTGTAATGGTACTTTCGCATTTTAGTTCCATGAGATTTTACTTTCAAATGCTTTTATTAACATGGATATAATACTGACGATGATACAATAGCTTTAATATTCGTATTATGCTGAATAGTTGGGTATTTGATTTTAGCTAAGAATCTGCTCGGACCAAAACAACCATTTATGGAAACCGGCTAGGATCCAGTAAGGTGTACCTCTATTTCCAATATCAGGTATTTCGCTGCTGTTTGATGAAAAAAATTTTTGCAGTTTACAAAATCGAGAATTAAGAAGAACCATATGCTGGACCGTTAGTGAATATTTACTTCCGTTTCTTTGCCTTATTCAATTTATTCCTGTTTATTAACAATATCTGAGCGATTTACATGGCAACACAGATATTATTTCTGTCCTACTGTACCTGAAAACACCCAGTACAATTGTACTGCTAATTGCTACTTAAATATTATTTCCACTGAAAAAAATGATGGCCGTTATATTGATTTGTAACTTTGGTGGACAATGGTAGGCAAGTTAGCCAAAAGTATGTACTAAAACTAAACAATTTTGGTGACAGATAATGCCATGAAAAGTCATTGATTCAGATTGCATCTGGCAGGCTAGGATAAGCCGTACTTCACTCAGCGGTAGCTCGGTGCTACTAAACGTAACCAATATTAATACCTCAAAGTAAAATGTCGTTAAGTACGTACCTTTCTGCACAATTCGCCTTACTGATTTCTATGGTGGGATAGTAATTGGTGTCTCCGTAATACGTGGGGTCATCGTACAATGTGCTTTGTCGTTCTAAACTAGGTCTACGTAAGGCTAAAACATAAATATAGTAATGTTATTATTTACTTCTTAATGGGCTGAACTTAAATAATGCGATATTTACCCTCATGTTAAATAATGCATCAATATGTTAAACAGGAATGCATACGAGATACGGGATTCCATTAGTGTTGGGTTAAATTTTTGTTTTGAGAAACACAGACAGCGAATACAAAATTAAGTGGAACTTCTGTGATACCTGAAGGTATATGGCCTTATAACGATTTGGTATATTTTATCGACAAACTAACGATAAATTGTCAAAATGCATTTTTTTTAGCAATGGAGTCGGAAACAAAGAGATAGTCAGGAAATAGCAATTATACAAATTTTCCAGCACATAAAGAAACATACATACCTTTACTACGCGATGGCACCTGATGACCGTATACTACATCTACAGAGTATCCAATATCTACACTATCGATACTAGGGTGAAAAGAACTTTCACAGCTCATCCATGTGTCGTTCCTACAAATAATTCACTGGATAAATATCTTAACGGGCCAAATTTGATTCTCACCATTGGAATTTCGGCGACGGTAAGAGACACAAAGTTGGGCATTTAACTAACTAAGAAACTTGACTTAGAAAGTTTTGCAGTTTAGGGTATTTTTAGAAAAGCAATTGTCTCTAGAAGTGTTACTGAACTTTTACACAGGTGGAAAGAGCTCTTCATTCTGGTTTTAAAAATGTATATGTCATACACTGACAGTACAAGACTATAATTAATTATTTAAGAAAACTATCTTTCATGTAGACTCTTAAATATCAGATCAGGGACACATTTGTTTAATACCATCAGACAATTTTTCAGTTTTCAGGAACTGGACATAGGTGAAAAGTTACTATTCAAAATTTTAATGAAGTGATATTGTACTGATCATGACATGGGTTGATATTATAAAACTGTAAGTATCTAAAAGAGTAATCCTCCTTCAGCTCGTCTGAACTTATCGAACTCTAACATCTGTATATGTCAAATATTCTTGCTAGGATGGATGTAGCAGTTGTTGCATTTGCAGGTGTATCAGCATTATTAATAAGCTCTGTTAATAAAATATAAATTGCGACCAGTAGTTTAGTGAAGTGGATTCAGAGGTGGTCAAAATCAAACTGAACGAAATGATATCGATCCTTTTTTGCTGCAGGAACCGAAGATTGGATAAGTCCTGCTCAAATAAGCGTTAATAGCATCATCATAAGATTGGGGTCAAACGCGTACAACTTAGGTATCGTTCTTGACACCAGACTAAAGTAAGGGCACCACGTCAAAAAAAAAAGAATAACTAAACCTCCAACATGAGCAATCTCGGTTACTGGGAAGATCTTCAAAGATACTCGTATAGCTGCATAACAAAGTCGTTATCTATAGTAAGATCTTAAAACTTGTAGAGCTCTATGGTACCCAACTGTGGGGCTGTTCCAAGAATTTGAGCATCGGAGTTAATCAAAGATTTCAAAATAAAGTTCTCTGAATGTCCCTTTGTATGTTTGTAATAAAGACATCCATCACTATTTGATTATACCTCTTATTATCGACGTGATCAAGAAAATAGCGGCCAGGAGTACTATTCTGGTTCTCATCGAAACTTACCGATTACCGGCACCTGTCAGTAAATGCAATCAAAGACTTCATGCCCCAGCCTAGATGCGATAAGCTCGAATAAAGAAGTGCAATATGTTCTGATAGAGTTAATTCTACATATCGACAGCTTGGAAGAGAACTGAACTATCCTGCACGATCTGGAATGTACATTTGTATGCGGATGATGTACAAGTTTACAAAGCATGTCAACCAACCAATGTAAATTCTTCAATTTTAGAACTTAATAAAAATTTATACATAATTGAACAGTACTCAAAAAATCATTGTTTGAAGCTCAATCCCTTGAAAACCAAAGTATATTGTGTTGGTTCTAGACTAGCGATTCTGAAGTGTAAACAAGTGATAAATACGAACATATTTTTAGAAGGAATTAACATTGAATTTGTTGAAGAAACAAAAAATTTGGAAACAGTACTTGATAAGAATTTAAATTTTGAAAGTCACATTATAAATAAGCTCAGAATATGTTATTATAACTAAAAAATCGCTATGGTGGATATAAGTATATATTAACAAGTGATATCAAACTAAAACTTGTTAATGCATTAATCCTCACACATTTAGATTATTGTAGTACTGTATATTACCCTTTTATCACTGAGGAAATGCAACAGAAAATTCAAGTTTTACAAAACCGTTGTATGAGGTTTTGTTTCAATGAGATAAACAGACGCGAACACATTACTGGGTATTATGTAAGGGAAAATATTTTAAAGTTCAAATATCGCTCGTTACTTCTCTATGTTGTTCTACTATTTACGGTTTTAAAATATAAATCTCCCAAATATCTTTTTGACACATTAGAGAAAAGATCTTCACTCCATCAAATGTTCCTCCGTAATGAATATTGTAATAATATACCAGCCCACACTACCTCAAAATTTAAAAAATGTTTCTATTACATAGCTCCCAGTATACTAAATGATTACCCAAGTTTCTTTAAATTAACGTCCATTCACAGCTTCAAAAGAGAATTCAAAAGAATGCTATTACAGTTACAATTTAATGAATCCACAAGTGGCTGAATAAATCTCATTATTAATCTTATTATATTTTAAAGTTTTGTTAGCATTATTATAGTCAACCAAATATCCTTTATGTAATGTATAAGATATAGTAATGCACTTAATGAATTTACCTTAGCTATTCGGGCGGGGGTGAAAAATGGCTATGCCAATCCCCAGCTCTTTGGAGTATTTTTTTTTGTGTTATATTATTTGCTCGTATTTTCATTCTATTATGTATTAATACTGCAATAAACATTATTATTATTATTATTATTATTATTATTATTATTATTATTATTATTAATATTATTATTATTATTATTATTATTATTATTATTATCAACAGTGTTACTTCAGTACATAATATTTTAGCAGATTCATCGTGTTATAAGTCAATATACACTTGAAAATAGACAAACTATTAAGGTAGTATGGTTTCAATTTGTGGATTAAAATGCAGGACATAGCAACAAGGCACAAAAACTGAAACAGAGCTTAATGGGATAGTAATATACACAGCTCTGCCCACCTTCCACCAATCTTATATCTCTGACCGTTTTCGAGATCCTAATGGTGAGAAATGAATGCGACGAAAGTAACTGCTTTGATATATCCCAATCAAAGACATTTTTTGTCACCAGCAACAGTGAAGGCGTAGCTTTGATTTAATATAACTTTATTACAATAAAAACAAATAATACATGAGATATTTACACATAATAAGGTTTTTAGTAGTAACTGAGGTTAAGATAAGAACGCTTCTACTATTTACAATAGGCTTGAGAAAAAAATATTTAATTTAGACGAGCACTTACCTAGTATAGCTATTCTTCTTGTAAGGTCGACTGTTGTAAAACAAAGGCTCAGAATCCATACTGTCATCTTGATACCGTTGCGTTTCATTTCTCGTGTCATAGCTACTGTAATCATCGATGCTGTTCAAATACCTCTGTAAAAAAAATCTTCTGTTAGTAGTCAGAACAGGCAGAAATAATAGTACTAAGGTTAAAAAGTAAGCCATGATTGGGCAAGGAATCTTCTTTTTCAAAATATGGGACTCTATGGTCAATAAAATTGACATATTATGGAATACTTTTCGTTTAATCACACATCCGGATATTTTGGCAGCCCGCCAATACATCATTTTGGAAGACAGTAAATTAATACCCCAAGGACTCACTAAAATGAGATTTCATGTGACCCCCCCATTCCATTTGGAAACAATTCAATAACTCCAATGTCTCGAAATTCAGCATGATTACTCGTTCAAAAAATAAGTACAGGGCGGGGTATTTTGTATAGCCCTGTATAGTGAGCAAGGCTAATTGTAATAGCGCTCTCAATGAACGTAAGAAGATATATATATATATAATATTGTTGTTTATACAGATATCCAGTTAATTTAGTATGCTTATCACGATAGCGGAGTAACCCATTCATTTTCGGTACCCATACCGAGGGTTCTAGTATGATCGCAAAAACATCGCAATTCTAGCTAAGAGGACTCGCGGCTTTTCATGCTGTCAACATTTCAGCACAGAAAAAAGACAGACCATCCCAAACGTCTCTTTATCAAATATGGTAAATTTACGACGCAATTAATAACTTCTATTTTGATCAGATTTTATATGAATGTTGCTCCTCTCCTCTCACTGGGAAATGGTCCATGTGTGAATACATCTTTTTTGTGCCTCGCCTTTTGCGTCAGGCTATTTAAATAAGGAACTTCCACTCCTTTGATTTTGTATTCCCTTATCACAAAATTTATGTTATTCGACGTTCAAATAAATTTTCTATAAAGGGCTTAACGGCGCGGCCTCAACGCACATAAAACTTGGGTTGGTCAAACTATGATAACTTATTTCAGTGATATCCGAAAGCTTACACTGATTCAATAAAAAAGGAGGGGGAAGTATTATAATTGTTATTATAATTTATACATAATCGGATCCAGAAAAAAAGAAGTCATGACACATATGAGACCTGTGAGACCATGTGACCATAGCAATGTTTGCTTTCCCTTATATACAATAAAAACCCCGCACACTGTGAGCTTACAACATTGCTAATGATGCTTACACAACCAAGCGTCCACACACAAATGTAGATTACCTATGTACATGTGAAGGGGATGGGTCTATGACACTAACACTGATGCCGATGGATGATCGCTGCATCGCGGAGGATTCTCTAATAAAAAATAGTCACTATTTAAATGGATGAAAATCAGAACATTCCAACATGTTCTGCGCCAAAATTAATCAGTTTATGTTCTCCTGAATACTTTCCGTTTGTTCCAATAATTCCTCTCCCATCCTGCCTATTCAAACGTAAAATATGTGACTTCCAAATATTAGTTTTAATAGTTTGGATGGGCATAATATCCAGATATTCTACAGTTTGTCGATATTACAATGCACAAAAGGTGAGAAGGCGTTACTTCTGCTACCGCGTAATAGATTTGTCATGGACCATTTTAAAGGCTCTGAAAAAAGCACCTTCTATCCTTGATGATAGGATGTATTCTGAATCATCCTTATTACTAGGCACTGCAAGGTATGTGCGGTCATTGATCTGCTTACTACAGCATTTCCCGGTAAAATTCATATTTTTCGCAATACCTGGCAATTTTTAATAGGCTTTAAATACTCAACATGAAAATCATATTCTATATGGTTTCCGTCAAGTTTACGTGAAATGCTTTATTCATATGAATAAAACGTTACAGGCTTCACAGCTCGGTAGCTTCAAAATGCAGATTTCCCTCCGCTTCCTGTTAACGACTTCTTCAATAAAGGTGGGATAATCGAATCTCGGATAACGGATCAGCTTTATTTCTGCAATATCCACGAGTTTACGATTATACTATAAAATGGAGAGGTATCCACTACCGTTTAAAGTGATGGTTGCCGATACCGGTAATTTTATCATTTTGGTCAGGCTCTCGTTCTCGTATGGGGAAACTTTGTTAGTCAAACGCTTTTTACGTAGCAGTATGAACGACGCAATATATTGATTTCCGAGTTTTTCCCAATAGGTTGTGAGCATCATCTTACCAAGGAAGAATATTTCTATGCCTCAGTCTAATAATAAACGGTAAGATATAAAACTGACAAAAACACAAAAAATCTCCTAATGAGTTTTGTGCTATCTAAAGCTATATTTCAGTGTTTCAATTTAATTAGAAAAAAATACATACATCCTAACAGTCATTTACGAATTTTCATGTAATTGTTATACAAGCTAAAAATGTCATCATGATCGAATTTGTAATTTTGATAATAATAATGGTCCCGTTCATCATCACCTAGCGCTACTTTAGCTTTTCAGAAGCGCTCTAATGGCTAACCGGTACTGTGACACATGTCACTGGACTAAAGTTAGAACACAATTAAAAATATTACAGTACGAGATTCAAATGAAATTTCACTATTTTGTAACATGAAATGGACCTCTCGTAATTCAGTGACTGACTTCAGGTTGTTTTATACTCCTAAGCTTTATTTTAACAAAACATCTACACTGTTTTGAAGCCAGGCACAGCAAACACAAAGCATTAAGTAAGTGTAACTTCTAGAAAGCAGCAAATAACTCAAAAATTCTGTTCATTCAACCCTATGTGACACTAGCACATAACAGTGCTGGTTAACTAGGGCAGGTGAAGTCAGGTAAGATTAACATAGACGTAGGCGTACCACAAGGGTCTATAGTGGGGCATGTGTATTCCCTTTATATAAAAAACCTGGAACAATGTTTTCCCAGCGCACATTTCACGTTGTACGCGGACGATGCCTCGATCCTTGTTCCTGACAAAGACGACGTCGAATTTCTTACTAACTATAGTAAATTAGCTAGTTCTTAATTGTGAAAAAACGACAGCTGAAAGGTTTCACAACCTTCAGTAACTGCTCCCAACGCTGAAGTTTGTAATAAATGGTGCGACACTGCAGACTAATAGCAGCACAACATTTTTAGGGCTTCACTTAGATGAATTTATAAATTTTGAACGACATTGTGATTACCTTTCACCGAAGCTTAGTTCACAAGCGTATGCGATGTGCTTTGAACTTCTGGGGTTCATCAAAGGACGCTTCCAAGGTATTCTTGAGCATAAAAAGGCTGATAAAGTGGGCATCAGGTATAAGCAACACACATAGTTGCACATAATTGTTCAAAGGGTTGAAAATACTGAGGCTGCCTTCGCTTTTTCTTTACAAAATAGCTATGTTATACTTTTAAACAGACAGGATTTCATTTTGAATAGTCATATACATTAAATAGGCGGTACAAATTAGGTAGCAGAGTATCTTGTATTTTGGGACCAAAGAACCAAAGACTTTCAACAACCTGCCTGACTGGTTATATGCTGTCAGCGCCTTTGTCAGTTTTTAGATCTTTATCTTTAACGCTTATTAGTGGTTTCAAACACCCATTCATTTATTTTATTTTAGCTCATTTCAAATTTGCAGATGGTTGTTTAAAATTGTTTGCCTGCTTTTTGTTGTTGTCTTTTATATTTTAATGATTTTTCCAAATTAAATGTGGCAAAATAACTAGTGTTGCACATGATACTGCAATATTATATGAAGGCACTGACTGGTCTGATCTAAAACATGTAATTGAAAATGATTTTGTCAAAATTACTCAGTGGTTTGGTAGTAGAAAATAAATTAAGCATCCACTATTCTAAAACACATGTTTTACCATTTGCATCTTATGCTATACATCCGCGAAATTACACAAATTTCTCCTTCGCCATTAATGATGAAAAAATGCAAATTAATAGAGTGCCAAGCATAAAATACCCTGGAATAATCTAGCCTCATCTCACATATGGTATATTAGCATCGGGGCTGCATGTTGTATAATTAAGATATATTTCAAAAAAGTATTCTAAAAATTATGTTCAAAAAAACGAAACTTTATCCCACTGACAAATTAAACGCAGATGTACAAATATCACCAACTACCATAAATTCATCAACACCGACCAAGAAATTAAACATAATCATTACACAATGTACAAAATTCCTGGCGCAGTCGTTCCTCAGCGGTCATTTTCATTTTGGGAATTGTTCCAAAAAAATTTTGTCACAGTGGCTACATTCTATCGTATATCTAGGACTGAAATTCATAAGCTCATTAATATCAACATTAAGTAAATGCATAATCTACTGTGTGCTTTTTTGTCATTTGCATTCTACAGTTGCAACTTAAAATTATTGGTCCATGTACAGGCAATGCCTTCTATTGAACCTGTTTTGATTCTATATTTATTTTCTCATGTTGTTTGTCCTCTTTGTACATTGAGTGAATATTATCATTACTATTTATTTTGTATATGTTGTTCTTATGATGAATCCTATACGTGCTTTATATACGTCTGATGGAAAGTAAATGAATGTTATTATAATGACAGACTTCTTCCTTTCGAAATCCTAACCTGAATATTCAAATATATAGGGCGTTACATTTGAAAAAGTAAACCCTGTAGAAAGCAGTATATTTACTGAGTAAGAAGGCCATATTTGGCTATGATTTTTGAAAATAACTTCTTTAGATGTATCTTATAATAGCGGAGTTATCTACAGATTACACACTAAAGACTTGGCTTGTGTATTATATTTCTATTACGGCACTTCACACCGTCCGCTCTAATTGCACAATGCTGGCCTTAACCGTTCCCTTTGAAGCCTAGATAGACCAGTAACTATTAAAAAACTTTGGCGCTTTCCCATAATTGCACATATCGACATTTTTGTTACATAGAATTTTTCATTTTTCGTTTTCTGTGAAAATTATTACTTGAGAAAACATTGATCTGAAAAGACTGTGCGATAGATTCTACGTTCCCACTCACCGGCAATTGTTTCCTCTTGACATCAGGGCTGAGCCCTTGGGACACCCTCCCGCTCCTGCTGACCGACATGGTATGTTGTCCATCGTCATACGAATTCTCCCTGGAGGTTTCCAAACTTCTGTCAGGCGTACGATCGAATGGGCCTCCTGGATGCCCTCCTATCGTCCCTGCGGCCGCCCTAAATTGGGAGGCTGAGGAGTTGGCGTGCTGCCCTCCCACGGGGTAGTTGAGGTCGGAGGTGTAGTCGCTGTCCTCCGAGTGACCCGCTGAAACGTCATTGTCAAAGTGAGAAGGAGGAGGAAGGGCGGCTGGAAAAGAGAACGGACACTGGAGGAGGTTGAACAGATCAGTTGTGTCTTTTCTTTTTACCTTCTAACGTCAGATACTGATAGCATACATAAGCAAGTAGGTACCTTACTAGCATCTTCACGTTCCTTAAGCCTTTACTGGGTTTAAGCAGTTCAAATTTCAATGAAAACAGTCTGAAAGTTGCGGAAAGAAGGATACTGAGAGAAGTATATTTGTACCATCAAAAATGATGCTACAGGATAATACCGTACTGGAACAAACAAAAAACAAGAGGAGCTGTATAAGCACCCAGCTAGTCATAGAATATCTGAAACATCCTGTGATTTTCATGTTCTTTCCAGAGAAATCTAACCGCCGAACCGTAGAAATTACCCTCTTCTGATATTTCGGCTACCACGATGACCTTTTCAAAGAAGAGACCAAAATGACAATGACAATATATTTTTTTAAAAAAATATTTTTGTAAATATACCTACTAAGTGACATATAAATCCGAACACCCAGTTTAAATGGTTTTATTTTAATAAAATGTTGTATAAGTACTTAATGAAGCATAATAAGTAAATGATAAAAATTTCAAAATGATTGCACTGCTTTAAAACCCTTTGACCTTTAATAATGTGTGGATGCACCCTGATGTGCTACGCATTCTCCAACGCGCCTAGGCAAGCTTCTGATCAGGTGGTCAATGTCCTCCTGTGGTATCTCATGCCAGGCAACCACCAACTCCTCTCGAAGTGCTTCTAGAGTCTGAGGAGGACGTTGCAAATTGAGCAATCTCCTACCCATCATATCCCACACGTGCTCAATTGGGGATAAGTCGGGAGATCTTGGTGGCCATGGTAACAATGTGACATCGTTATGTTGAAAGAAGTCTATTGTGACTCTTGCAACATGTGGTCGGGCATTATCTTGTTGGAAAGTTGGATCTGCCAGGGTGTCAAGATAGGGTAAAGGATGGGGTTCTAGAACTTCGTGGATATATCGCTACGCGTTCATGTTATCTCTAATGAAGATTAAAGGTGACCTGGAACCATAAGCTATAGCACCCCAAACCATAACTCCAACAGTGTGATGAACATGTCTTTCAACAAAAAACTGTGGATTCCTCCTTTCACCACGTCGCCTTCTAACACTGGCACGACCATCGTGCATGCCTAAACAAAATCGAGACTCGTCACTAAAGACAATACTGTTCCGTTCCTGATCCCAGAGTGACCGCTGTCTGCACCACTCAAGGCGATTACGTCGGTGTTCTCGAGTTAAAGGGAGGACCCAGTGTGGCCGGTATGAAAACAAGCCAAAACTTCTCATTCGTCGGTAAACACTTTGCATGCCGAAAGGTCTTCCGTGTTCTGCAAATCATTCATTTGCAATGGACCTGGTAGTGGAGAAACGGTCCCTTAAGGCCAATAATCTTAGGCGGCGATCTTGACGGTCTGTTGTTCTACGGCGGCGTCCAGTGCCACTTGCTCTTTGCGTACGGCCTTCTCGAAGCCATGCCTGACAACACCTAACCACCTTGTCTACACTTCTTTGCACTCTAACTGCAATTGCCCGAAAAGAAAATCCAGCTTCCCGAAGTCCCACTATACGGCCCCTATCAAACTCACTAAGTTGACGAAATCGTACAGGTCTCCGTACTCTAGGCATCGTAACCGATCGTAAAGGATGTCAAGAACCAAAATCCGCCAACGTTGATTCTTTACTGCGGCTGAAATATTCATTTTTAGAGCGTTAGTGAATTAAAAAAAAGCAGTATAAAAACCGGAATGTCCAACTGATAAGGCTGAACATTTTTTCACTTGTTATTTACAGTAAGATAAATACATTCACCAATTTTTATTAAAATAAAACCATTTAAACTGGGTGTTCGGATTTATATGTCACTTAGTATATATTCTCATGGTGATTTTTGTATGTACCGTGGTGGCTGAAACATGAGTAAAGAGGAAATTCTACTTATGTAATCTCATTTCCTCAGTCAAAATAAGGCTTCTCACCCAAACGTTTTCAAAATCATGAGGAAATAAAGATTAAATGGGTAGATTACATAAAGAGGCAGATAGATCAATATCCGGAATAAAAATTATTGAATTGTAATACCAGTTCTTACCTCCATTAATATTTTTTATCCTTACCTCGACGGCACATCTAAGAACAGACTGCAGGTTGTTCAGAACAGCTGCGGAAGATTTATCTTTGGTCTGAGATGATTTGGTCATGTCTCAAATAAGTCTACTGCTTTGTGCTGGTTGAAAATGCCCTATTTAGTGCAGTTTAATCACCTTATTTTCATCCACAAATTAATGCTTACGTCTAAACCTCTATATCTTAGAGAACATTTTATTCTTAGAGGTAGTGCTCATAATAGAACCAGCAGGCATAGAAGCACAATAATTATTCCCCACCATAATTCATCTCTATTCCAGCGCAGTTTCACATACAATGCTGCTAGTATTCATAACAACATAGATGCTAACTCTAACGTGATGTCCTAAAACCAATTTAGGAAATGTATCAAAGGTTTATTACTAATGAGTCATATGCTGACTCATTGCTTATATTGATGTCCACCATTTGCCATGTTCATTCTCTTTTCTTTCTTTTGCTTTTGTTAGGTGTGTAACAATTTGTAAGTTTTGCCATGCTCTACCTTGTCGTTTATGCATAGAAGTTACCCTAGATTTTATATATTTTATTTTGTTCTTCTCATGCCATGGTATACTATGTATACTAGTGGTTAAGTGTGAGATTAGTCCACGGCAAACCTCCCTCCTCTTAGATCTGCATGTACTTCATAAAGGAGAATTTATTATTATCATAATTACAAAAATTACTTCTATGTGATTTTTATGTCTGCAGAGTATCTCTCATAAAAAATTGATTCGGCTGGAAAACTTTCAAGTAGTGTATTCTTCAGTTCATTCATAATCAAGTTTGCAATTATAGTGCCAAAAAGTGGTTGTTCTCATATTTGAAATATGTTACCTTTAAGCAACAGTTTTGATATCTTCTAGAGAAAGGGAAGTGAAATTCTTCAATTTATCTCAACATTACGACATCGTATGACACCAGCAGATGGTCTTTAGGTGCTAATCCAGTTCTTATAAAGATGTAAACACTCCAAAAGCTTTTTACGTGGTAGCACTCACAATGTTTTTTTATGATGTTCGAAAGATATTTTGCGAGTTGAGATGTCTACACTCAAACTATCAACATGTATCTGGCAGAAACTCAGTTCTTTTACAAACTAGTAAGTCTTTTTGTATATTATTTACAAATTTTTTAAAATTGGCTCTTTTTTAACGTGTTTTGTTTAATGATTTCTGATGCTCTTGCTTAGTCTTACAAACCGACATGTGCCTGAAGAAGGAGTTTCTAGTCGTCGTGACGTTATATTTTGATAAATGCTTTAAGTTGACTGAATCGTAAGCATTTATTATATGAACTGCCAGGAATCAAAGAACTGCTCATATATACAACCCCCTTGTGTCTCTTTTAGACGTACTTTCTGTCCTAAAAACACTATCGCGATATTTTAAAGTACTCTTACGTCCTGTACAGTAAATTATCCATAAATGCAGAATTGCTACATGAGGGAGTTGTCCATCACACATCTATACATACAGAGAACTAGGACATGGACTTCCTGCTACCCACCGAACATGACGACGTGAAGTGTACAGTTAATTAGATCTTGTTCTAATTATCGAGTTGAGGGTCGTTTTAGAACCGACATGTGAAGTGAAGATGCGTAGTAAGGGACTGCAATGTAGGCATCAACTAAAAGGCAATAATAAAGGCGAACGATGTACACCCATAAAATGTAAAATTCAGAATGAGAAATGTATGAGGGTAGTCTTGGCTGACTGAATAAGATACAAAGTACACATATTCGGGGATGCAGTCAACAAAAACTGAAGTTAGGTCATAAAGAACGTAATTCCTTGTTTAAGTCAAATGAACATTTTCATAATCTTTGCTTATAGCTCCGTCGCCATAGGACCGATATTCAATATAGTTTTTTCGTCCTTGGCTTAGTAGTAATGAGAATTTCACCAAAAGCCGAGCGCCAGCTTCCAAGTCATAGATAGGCAAAGGATTAGCGGATAGCTAGACAGACCAACGGACAGACCAGTAGATAGACCGGTAAAAAAATCAACAGACAGTCCGACAGACAGACTGTCAGACAAATCGACAAATAGACCGTCAGACTAATCGACAGACGGACCAACAGGCAGACCGACGTACAGACAGTCTGTGGCTGTTTGTGTCGAACATCCCACATTACATTGAACGAGAACATACTTCATTTTCGATTCTTTTCGCGATTAAAATAGTTCCTCTCTCATGTGACACCGATATATAATTTTTCAAATCTACCTATTATGTGGAATTTTGAATACTTACAGTGACCCAGATAGTGCATCTGCCTTCGAGCCTGTTCAGCTCTCGCTTCCTGATCCATGATGTTGTTGAGCATTTCCAGTTTTCTTTGGAGGTCCAGCGCTTCGATATTCTCTGGATCTGGAAAATAAATAAGTTAAGCATCTTAATACAATTTCATGTTTCCATTCATACAACGCTGCTATTTTTCACATAAATATATTGTATTTTATTTCATGTCCTGTCGATTACTGCATTATAAACATTTTTTATCATAACTTGAGGCATAAGCAATTCCCTTATTTAAGGAGCCCCTAAGCGAGCATCTTTGCAGCTAGATAATGCAGTGAAGCCCTAATATAAATTGAAAGCGACTAGTTTCAGTGAATATATTTGAATTTATACATTCAGCTCACCGAATGGAAGTTCAAAGCGGCAGTCGACAAGTAGTGAATGTCCCGTAGGAGTTTTTGTCCCCACAACTTCACCATCTCTCATCACCAGTTCAGCTTCCAATGATCGCCACTGACCGCAACCCTCCTAGAAGATGCAACGGGTCACATAAAGATTGGTAAGTATTAATACTAAACCGTCTTGCCATATCTATGTGCTATATGCACCAAAATATCAATTTCAAATTCACTAGCTACATGAATAAGGTTACGGGCCTCATCATCTTTGCCTGATTTCTTGTTTCCTAGCAAAACCATTGAGTCAGTTCTCCTCATTTGGATGACTGAGAAAGTTCACTTTAAATAGAAGTATTTGCCTGATTTTTATTTATGGCCGAACAGCTGCTTCCTACATTAATCAACCTTTCAATATCGCTATTTTTAAATATCTACAGCAACGATTCTACATTTATATGAACTGATATGAGCTTAAATATAATAATTTCTCTACTATACACCGATACTGATAGGTTCATTTATCAATATTTAATTCTAATATCTGGAATGTCCGGCTAATCTTGATAGTAGTCTGTGAATTGAAACGATTGCACTCCTTGAGCGAGTTTTTTTGGTATTGTAAAAAATGGAACATTTTAATCTAACCCATTATGTTCGTAGAATTGAATGAAATCTTGTCCATTATCCCCTCATTGGGCTATGCCCAGTTTTCGTGGATATATGCATTAATAATAATTGAAACGTAGAGTACCTAGCATCGGAGCTTATCTTTACATCGTTCATTCTACAAAAGAAAACATCTAATTTATCCAATTTGTTTTTCTTCCTTTGAGTAAAATAAGGTTAAACATCTAGCGCTTATGGAAAACTAATCATTCCTAGAACATACATTTACGCGTATTAACAGGACAGTGTATACATGTGTATTGTATTTTAATGTCTTTAGTACGCTTGTTATAAGCTACGTGAGTAGGCTGTCACGCAACTAGAGTAAATAGGAGTTATTTCAATCATTTATGCTATACAGTTAAAAGCAAAACATATAAAATGTACTCCATTGCATTCATAATGCAAGCTTAGATTAAAAATAGCAGCTGAAAAGCCTTTATATATATATATATATGATGAAGATGGCAAAGTCCATTGAAAGCTAGAGATTAATAAAGTATAAAGAGTCCTCATTGCTTGCATTTTGTCGAAGTACCCAAGAAAAGGCGGAAGCTTTATTTTTCACATAACTGGTTTAGACGACAATGACCACGTCTCAAGTTATATATATATATATATATATATATATATATATATATATATATATATAAATGAAAGACTTGTCTTTGGGATATCGTCAAATTAAGCAAAGTGTATCCTTCTGATTTACAAATACTCAAGCTTTTAACAGGCTATGCTGTCTTCCTCAGGAGTTCTTCAATGAGATTGGTGCTAGTGTTAGATGTACGTATATAAAACTTTATTTGGGAACACATAGCTAGATGACAAAAAACTGGATTCACGCGGAACTCACAATTTATCTTCAGGAGCTGAAATACAAATATGAAGCTAGCAACCAATACGGAAAGGAATTAAATTTTCAGACAACTTACTATATACATATATTTATATATATATATATATATATATATATACAGGGTTATCCAAATTAAGTGTCCACCATTAGTAACTTTGTTATTAGTGAAAATAAAAAGTTGTTTGAATTAGCAAACTAGTAGCATTTTTAACGCTGGTAAAAATGAGAAATAAAAAAAAACAATTGAGAGTCGTTATTTTGATTTTTTTCAGTAAAATAACATTTTTTTAAATGGAAATCCCTGTATATTATATTTTTTTCTGTTAAAGCATCAAATTTTAAACAAAAAAGCTTACAATAACTTTTCTCCTAGGTTACAAATTGTTGAAGTTATGGCCTCCAATCTGAAACAATTAAATTGTATCGACAAACTTTATTTTCAACATCAACTTATAATCTTACAAAATACAATAACAATTTTTTTTAAAGAAGATGCTCGAAAACACCACCTTGTTCTTCAATACATTTTTGGGCACGTTTTTCAACTGCTCGAACTGTCTTAAGTATGGTCCTACCATCTATCTGGGTTATCTTTTCCCTAACTGCAGTCTTTAACGCGTCAAGGTTATCGTACCTTCGCTTGTAAATTTGGTTCTTTAAGTAACCCCACAAGAAGTAATCTGGTGATCTGGGAGGCCACTGTATTGGGCCATTTGTTCCTATCCACTGATCATTAAAAGTAGTACTTAGAAAATGATAAGTACCTCTGGAGTTGTGGGCAGGTGCGCCATCTTGCTGAAAATGCAGATGATGTCTACTTATAAGATCCAATTCGTCTAAGAAATTAGTCTGAATTTCTGACATAAATTCCACATATCTTTCACCAGTTAGGGTTCCCTCATAAAAGAACGGGCCAACAATTTTTGAACCAATTATACCGCACCAAACGTTGAAACTGAAACAGACTTGTGGGCCTCTTGGATGTACTAACAAAAGATTTTCTCTTGACCAATAATGGTGGTTTTTTCTATTAAACATTCCAGAATTTGAAAAATTTGATTCATCTGTCCATAAAAGGTAACGAAAGTTATTTACATTTTGGCGACAGAAGCTAAGATACCAATGGCAAAAAACAAGTCTTCTCTCTGGATCCCCTGCCAAAAGCGTTTGAACTGGTCGGTACTTATACGGAATAAATTTGTATTTTTTTAAAATCCTTTGAACAGTACCATAACTGAAATTAGAGTCCTTGAGAATATCTGCTATTGAATTCTCACGATAAGCTTCAAAATATCCAATAACTGCAATTTCCGTGGCCTCGCTTATTATGAATTCTTTTTTTGCCCTTGTTTTAGCAAAAACATTTTCGTTGCCCCTAAATTTTCGATAAAGTCTCAGAAAATATCGTTCATACGGTTAAATGCGAGCGGGATATAATTCACTGTAGTATTCTCTTGCTCTCAAGGAGGATTTTCTGCACACTAAATAGCATTCTAACATATCACACTTTTCTTCATGTGAGAACATTTTTCTTTAAATTAATGACACAATAAAGCTTATAAACAAGTATTTACACTAATGTTTGACATTATTTGATTTTATCATTGTTTTCCAAAGCCTTCTAGTTGTTTTCATAGCCGTCTTAATATTATAATACTGCAAATAATTAAAAATATTTATCGTTATTTTGACTTTATTTTTGACTTTAGCGGAAAAGTCATTATGAACTTTTTTGTTTAAAATTTGATGCTTTAACAGAAAAAAATATAATATACAGGGGTTTCCATTTAAAAAAATGTTATTTTACTGAAAAAAATCAAAATAACGACTCTCAATTGTTTTTTTTTTATTTCTCATTTTTACCAGCGTTAAAAATGCTACTAGTTTGCTGATTTAAACAACTTTGTATTTTTTCTACTAACAAAGTTACCAATGGTGGACACCTAATTTGGATAACCCTGTATATATATGTATACAGGGTGACTTCGAAGTTGACTCATTTATTTTAACAGTGAGTAGATCTGATCAAAAGAAATGTTTTTTTCCTTTAACATTTTTCTGGTAAAATTAAAATAACAAAGTTATAGCCCTTTAGAGGTTTGAGTACCGCCCTGTCTCAATAATAATATTATGTGCTCGTGTTTGGTAACAACGGATATCGGTCATCGCATCGGAAACAAAAAAGCGGAAGAATTTGAAACGTTTATCACGATGTTTTTCGTCAGTCGGTAACGCGTGAGTGAATAGTGGTGTTTGTTGCGTGACTCAAACGAAATGAAAAATGGCACATTTTTATGAAAATGCTGAACTTGTGGACATGATTCTTATTTACGGGGGGGCAGTCTTTACAAAATGCTGTCGGATGCATCACGGATTTATGCGAATCGGTTTCCCAATCGAGTGCAACCAACCCCTCGTGCCTTTGTTAATGTAGTACAAAAGGCTCGTGAATCAGGTGACTTAAGACCTCACAGGTGAGCGCATGCCGGTGCTCCAAGACCGCACGATCAAATACAGGTCCGCACTGAAATACTTGTCGGTAGGATACTTTATAAAACAAGGTAACATTTTTTTTTATTTTTACACACATATTTTGGTTTATCTTCCTTCTACAATCATTATCTGAAAATTAATGACTCAACTCTATATATATATATACAGGGTGACTTTGAAGTTGAGTCATTAATTTTCAGATAATGATTGTAGAAGGAAGATAAACCAAAATATGTGTGTAAAAGTAAAAAAAAAATTAAAAAAATGTTACCTTGTTTTATAAAGTATCCTCCCGACAAGTATTTCAGTGCGGACCTGTATTTGATCGTGCGGGCTTGGAGCACCGGCAAGCGCTCACCTGTGAGGTCTTAAGTCACCTGATTCACGAGCCTTTTGTACTACATTAACAAAGGCACGAGGGGTTGGTTGCACTCGATTGGGAAACCGATTCGCATAAATCCGTGATGCATCCGACAGCATTTTGTTAAGACTGCCCCCCCGTAAATAGGAATCATGTCCACAAGTTCAGCATTTTCATAAACATGTGCCATTTTTCATTTCGTTTGAGTCACGCAACAAACACCACTATTCACTCACGCGTTACCGACTGACGAAAAACATCGTGATAAACGTTTCAAATTCTTTCGCTTTTTTGTTTCCGATGCGATGAACCGATATCCGTTGTTACCAAACACAAGCACATAATATTATTGTTGAGACAGGGCGGTACTCAAACTTCTAAAGGGCTATAACTTTGTCACTTTAATTTTACCAGAAAAATGTTAAAGGAAAAAAACATTTCTTTTGATCAGATCTACTCACTGTTAAAATAAATGACTCAACTTCGAAGGCACCCTGTATATATATAGGGTGTTAATAAAGTATGTCGACAAAATTTAACCATCGAATCCTTGGTCAATTCGAAGACTAAATGTTTACATGCGCATGGGTCCGTAACGGCTTTCTTTTCGAGCTAGAGCACTATCACTAAAGCAATACGAATAATGCTCCAAATATTTCTATGAATAATGAAACGTATTTATTGAACAGTTGGTATAACCTGTGCTAAATTTTGCATGTTTTACAAGTTTCTGAGGCTCAATATGAACATG